CCGATCTCTCTAGCATTGCCAATCGTCCTTCCCGAGGTTAGTTCCTGAAACTCACAATAAGAAGGATAAAAGTTAGCTTGACACTGATGATCATGGGTTATTTTAATTATGGATAATAAATTGCAGGATAAATTTGGAACATGGAGAACATTATGAAGTGTAAGAGAAGGAGAAATGAACACTGATTCTTTTCCAGCTATAGCTAAAAGAGAACCGTCTACAATTTTGATATTTTTGTTTCCTGCACACGGTTTATAGGAAGAGAATATTTTTGAAGAACCAGTCATGTGATATTTTTGAAAGAGTTTGTACAAGTGGCCTAATTGTTCCTTTATGAAATTAGGCATCTCTGAATTGATTTGTGGTTCCTGAGAATCTTCACTCATGGTCTAAAATGCTCTGCCATCACCTCCGTTCTGCTTCTTAAAATTCTGGGGCTTGCCGTGGATTTTCCAGCATGTTCATTAACAGCAGGAGACTTCTTGGCACCAGTGATGTAACCGATCTTTCCTTGCCCACGGATATACATCCGGACAGATTGTGACCAGTGGAGAAAATTATCACCATTTGGGCGGATGGTGGTGATTTGGACAGAGTGAGAGTTGGATGTTTTCACCGGAATGGCAGCGGCAGGGGTTGAAGTGGTTTCGGACGTGACTTCCGACATGGCTATGACGGTTTTAGGGCTGCTGTGTTTTTTGTTGCTCTGATACCAACTTAGAAAATATGAGGAAGAAGAACTCCGAAAATATGAGGAAGAAGGAATATATTTCTGTTATATTCAAAACTTCTTATCTTACAAGACCAAATGACACTCCTTATATAGGAGATATTACAAACATCATTATAACCCATTATATGCCACTTACATATTATATATTACCACTATCTACCACTAACATATTATCACATATTCTATACATGCCACTATCTACCACCAACGTCACTATCACATATTCTATACATGCCACTATCTACCACCAACACCACTATCATATTATATACATGCCACTATCTTATTATTAACACAAATTTCCAGCACAATCTTCCCTAATTCTATACACAATATATTCTCACACTCCCGCTCAAACTCAAGGTGTTTTAGCAGAAAACACTAAGAGTTTGCTAAGAAGAAACTAAAACGAAGCGGTAGTGTCAGTCTTGGTAGAGAATTCCCCAAATTGCAAAGCCAAAGAGACAAAAGGAAGCGAGATAGAGCCAGACTGCAAATGCTGTCGAACAAAGTGACAATCAATCGCAATGCGTTTCGTCCGTTCATGGAAGATAGTATTGTGGGCAATCTGAATAGCACTGCGGTTGTCACAATACAGGGAGGTCGGAGAAGACTAAGGGCCACCCAAATCAAATAAGAGACAACGAAACCAAACAATCTCAGCAGTAACATGAACCATAGCACGATACTCCGCTTCAGCAGTAGAGCGAGCAACAACAGTTTGTTTCTTGCTTTTCCAAGAGATCAAGGAATCGCTAAGAAACATACAGAAACCAAACGTGGACTTGTGATCAGTAACATCACCAGCCCAATCAGAATCAGCATAGGCCACCAAATCCAGAGAGGAAGTAGAGGACAATAGTAAACCCTGAAAAATAGTACCTCGGAGATTGCGAAGAATCCGAACCAATGCAGGCCAATGTGGGAAGTGAGGAGCAGAAACAAACTGGCTAACCACATGAACAACATAGGCAAGATCAGGACGAGTAACCGTCAGATAAACTAAGCAACCCACAAGCTCGCGATATAAAGTGGGATCATCTAGAGAGACACCATTAGTAGAGTTGAGCTTCACATTAAACTCAGTAGGTGTATCAGAAACCTTAGTATCAGTAAGACCAGCACGGTGAATGACCTCATTAGCATACTTAGCTTGAGACAGAAAATAGCTTTTTGGAGAAGAAGCAACTTCCATACCAAGAAAATACCGCAAAGGACCAAGATCCTTCATCTCGAAGGTGCAAAAGAGATGCTGCTTGACCTCAGAGACAGCAGAAAAGTCAGAGCCAGTGATGATCATATCATTCACATATAGTAATAATGCAACAAATCTGGCTGAGGTGTGGAGAAGAAATAAAGCAGAGTCTTGGGCACAAGGATGAAACCCAAACTCAGTAATAGCAGTCTAAAAGCGATCATACCAAGCACAAGGAGACTGCTTCAGACCGTACAGAGCACGCCGAAGGCGACAAACCTGTCCAGAGGAATGGTGAAGGCCAGAGGGAGGACGCATGTAAACCTCCTCAGTGAGATGGCCATTAAGAAAAGCATTCTTTAATATCCATCTGATAAAGAGGCCAAGAACGAACAGCAGCGACAAAGATCAAAGTACGGACAATGTCATTTTGGCAACAGGAGCAAAAGTTTCCTCATAATCAATGCCATACTCCTGTGAGAAACCTTTGGCAACTAGACGAGCTTTGTAACGCTCAAGAGAACCATCAGAATGAGTCTTGACTTTGTAGACCCATTTGCAACCAACCAAATTATTACCAGCAGGCAAAGGAACCAACTCCAAAGTACTAGTTTTCTGTAAAGCAGACAACTCATCCTCCATAGCTTGAACTCAATGAGGATCCTGACAAGCTTCCTTATAAGACTGAGGTTTTGAAAAAAAGTGAATAGCAGACAAAAAAGTACGATAGGAAACAGAAAAACATGTATTAAACCAACCCAACCTGTTTGGAGGATGACGCGCTTGAGTAGGATATCGGTGTGCAGCAGGATTAGAGTCGTCAGAAGCAGGAGGATTAGCAGTAGGGGTAGAGACAACCGGTGGAGGAGGAGCCTTGCGACAAGAATAAACTAACAACGAAGGAGAAGAAAAAACCAAAGGAGGAGAAGTAGCTAGAGGTGAAGCAGGAGGAGAAGATGAACAAGCTTAGGAGGAACTATGGAGATGTACTCATCAGATGGGACCTCAGAAGGAAACAGATCAATATGAACTAAATTCTCTTTGGAAACTGGAGCGGTGAGAGGAGGAAACTAAAAGTAAGGTAGACGTTCAAGAAAAGAAACATGACATGAGACATAAAGACGACGGGAAACAAGGTCGTAACACCGATAGCCTTTCTGAATAGGACTATAACCCAAAAAGACACAGAGGACAGACCGGACACTAAGTTTGGTCCTATCTTTGCGGGAAAAAAGGACAAAACAGGAAGACCCAAACACACGAAGAAGGGAGTAGTTAGGAATTTGGGAAAACAAAGCCTTATAAGGAGACCGACCAAAAAGAAGAGGAGTATGCATGTGGTTGAGAAGAAAAGCAACAATAAGAACTGCCTCTCCCCAAATTGGAATCGGAACTGAGGCAGAGAGAAGAAGAGACCTAGTTGTCTCAAGGAGATGACGGTGTTTACGCTTGGCTCGACCATTTTGGGCAGGTGTATCTATACAGGATGTTTGGTGAATGGTACCCAAATTGGCCAAATACTCACAGAACTCATTTTTTAAATATTCCCCACCCAAGTCAGACCGTAACACTTTAATTGTAGACCAAAACTGAGTAGTAATCAAAGATTGAAAGATACGGTATATTTGATAGAAATCAGACTTATGAGCCATAAGATAAACCCAAGTATAACGGATGCAGTGATCAACAAATGACACATAGTATGCAAAACCCCCTTTGGTGAGAGCAGGAGAAAGGTCCCAAACATCAGTATGAACTAAAGAAAATGGTGTATCAGATACAGAAGTATTTTTTCGAAAAGGTAAGGCTGTCATTTTGGCAAGTTTACACCTCCGACATTCAGTAAGTTCACAAGGAGAAACTATACCCAATATACCAGACTGAGCTAAAGACCGTAAGCGATTAGCCGACAAATGCCCTAATCTAAAATGCCACAAGTAGAAAGAATTGGACAGAGAATCTAACCGAAAAGAGGAAAAATCAGTTAGAGAGGTTGTCATATACAGATACAAGCTCTCCACCACATAGAGGTCTTCAACTCTACAACCAGTGCTATTTAGACATCCGATCTTGCACAGAACAGATAGAAAAAGAAAAGAGAACATCAAAACCACAGGCATCAAGCTGACTGATGGATAATAAACTGATAGATAGCTGAGAAACATAAAGGACAGATGGAATAGAGATAGCAGACATAGCAGACGGTAAGACAAACCCAATAGATATGACAGACATACCAGACCCATTAACAGTATTGATAGTAATAGGAAAATAAGGAGTACAATTTTGAAGCAAAGAGAGATGGGGAGTCATATAATAAGAGGCACTCGAATCAAAAATCCAGACAGACGAAGAAATACTTAAAGAAGACCCAAGCAAACCTAAATGAAGAGAAGAAACAATGGAGGCAGACGGGGATGGCTGGGAGGTAGACAGTATATGCTGAAGTTGACTAATTTGAGCACTCGAAGAAGGCAAGTCAGGATCAAAAGCTACAGCGGATGCTGTTGAAGTTGCGGGAGGAACACAGAACTAATTCTGAGACTACTGAAGAGATGAGGCTGGCAGATGTCCCTTCTTGGGACAATGATACTTCCAACGGCTCCACTGATGGCAGAATACATACTCATCTAATGCTTTGGGCTTTGCAAGAGGCTGAAGCTGATGGGTATCCGACATCAAAGGTGTATTCATAAACAAGAACAATGAACACACAATATTTAGAAGTCAAATAGGCCCAACTGAAATCAGAGATATAAACTGTGGTCAAAACCGTAATAATGGAGAAACTCCAGAACGGGGTCAAAATACCAAATAAGAGAACCGTCAGATGGGTCAAGACCCAAACCTAGACCTAAATAGAGAGGGAGAGAGCCAATCCAGAGAATCAAAAGCCCAGAAGTCGACCGAGGCAATGAAGTTGATCAACGACGACAACAGACAGCTTCAAGTGGAGCTTCAACCGAGATCGAAGTAGATGACCCACGAGGGATTGCGTCTAAGACAGACGAGTCAGACTAGACCAGAAAACCAGACCAGTCGAACAACGATGACCCACGAAGTCGACCGAATAGGGAGTGCGTCTGAGACAGACGAGGCATACCAGACCAAGCGAAACCCTAAGTGTGTCGCAAGGTGAACTAGAACCAGAGATCAAGAACTAGTAAACCAGAAGATTGCACGATGGCGGCAAGGGTTTGAAAACTAGATCTGATACCATGTAAGTTTTCTGAATGAATCTGTATAGTCAATTATGTTTCTTTACAAGGAGGTCACCGGTTTATATAACCCTAAACCTATGACTGAAAAAGGAAAATACGAGAAAGGAAATACAGTCAAATAGCTACACCACAATCTTTCCTAATTCTATACACAATACAATCTTCTCTAATTCTATACACTATATTCTCACAAGAGGACCTGAAATATAATTGTCTGTTGCTTAACCAGTTGAATCCAAACAAACCATGTCATGAAGCAAGATGGACAATATTTGCAACCATTTTAGCATTCATCAAGTTCAATGATTTGGCATACAAAAATTTATGTACTCTTCAGTGTCCCATTAAGAACGTCATATAGAGGAAAGAGAAGGAATGGCAAACCCTCTTCCCAATAAGTCAATACATGAGAGAGAGAGAGAGAATTTGTACAGTAACAATTCAGTCTCCCGCAAATAATAGTTCAGAAAAGCTAAAAAATACAAAGATCTTGGATGCTCTACTTGAAGCATACTAAACTGAGCATTTGACACAACCAAAGCTTTGGCAGATAAAATGTTTGTTCCAGCATGACCTCACTGCAAGAGTATCCTTCCAGCAGGGGGTGGGGTGATTATGTTATGCTAATGAGAACCAGTGGCTCGAGCTCCAAAGCTGAAGGTACCCACAATCAAAGCAGTGTATTGATTAAAATTCATACTGGAGGCAATGAACTTACAACTTCAAGCATCGAGAATTTCTGCAATGGCACTGCTTTTGTTTCTTTGGAGTACCATCCTTTACTTCAATGTTATTCTGTTGTTGTGATTTTGGAGACTCCATTGTGCTAAAGAAACATATATTTGCACAAAGCAGATAAAATAGAATAAAATCGTTAAAAAGTATACTCAAATGCTCTCATAAGGGTATTATACTCTCAAAAGAAAAATAGACAAACATGGTCATGTGTTTGTCAGTACAAAACAAACCATCATTGCATGAAGTAAAGAAACAATCAAACAAATAAGGATCAAAACTAAGTGAAAATCAACCAAAAAAGAACACAGCAAACATCATCTGCACAAGTTTCCTCAAGTAATGTGGTTGAACACAATCCTATACAATGACCAATGGATCTTTCTCCACTAATATAAAACTAGATTTTACAAACACCAGTTGATGGAAAATCAATTTTAGGCCTTTCTCAACAAATAAACTAACTTCCTCTAAGTGTCTAATATCTTTTAAAACATTTTTACAATAAAAATAATCCTCTTCCTTACAACTTTTTTTTTTTTTTTTTTATATTGTCAAAATAAAAGTAATGCATATTTATACATATTAATCCTATTTTCTTTCAGCTTTTTAGTTTTGGGAACTCTACATCCTTAAATCCAATTTGTTTGTCAATATAGATTTTTACAAAATATATATATTTTTTTACACATCTTTTCCAATATATAGAATATGGGAAAAAGATTTCTTATTGCTTTGATAAAACAAAATACGAATGTAATTATATTTTGTTTATTATTGTGTCTCTCCTGCATCATGTCATCAGTTTTTTTTTTTTTTTTTTTTTTTTTGAAATATCATATTGGTACAAATCTAAAAAAAATCATATTGGTATGTCCATATTGTAATCTATGGCATCTGTATCCATACTTCGTGGGTCAGCAAGCTCAATCATGTCTGTGCCCCATAATAAGAAAATTGGACAGATTCTTCATATAAGAGTTTTTGAGGATTGATATCTTTTAGTTAGGCAAATCTAGATAATCTCCCATCCTCTTCCTTTTCTTCTTTTGTTTAGCAGTCTTGCTGACAATCAAATAAATTATAAAAAAAATAAAAATAAAAAAACCCAAATACCATATGTTCAACTAAATTTACAACAAACCCCATATCATTATCTTTCTATACAAATACAACTGAGCTATCAGCAGTTAGAGATGTGACATAATGGAGATTTTTTCAACCAAAAAAAAAAAAAAATCATTTTTTTTATTTGGTTACCCATAGAAATATGAATAGGTACAAATTTACAAGTAATTTCAAACAACTTAACGTGACCATGCATAACAATCAATCTTAAATTTTGACAGTATATAAGTAGAATTTTTGTATATTACCAAGTTCCATTAGAGATTTCCACTAATCACCACATTTTTATATACATTTCCATTCTCATATCAATTAACATTTAAAATCTTCACTTCATTAATATATATACATTCATTCCATACTCAAATGAAAAGCTCATCAAAACAAATCTCAAAAAACAAAAGTTAAAGAGAAGATAGAACGTACGCTACTGGCAATGGATGCGCCGCCCGTAGCCGCCGTTGCCGTTTTGACTGCGGCGGCGGCGGTGGTGATTGTGGCTTTGCTAATGCAAGCAATTTCGCTTGTAATTGAGCTTGGGGATGCGCCGGTAATATTGCATTCGCCGAAGCTCTGCACATCGCGGTGGATTCGAGTTGTTTAGCGAGCTTCCTCTGTGGAAAATCAGACACCGTCGCACTTTGCTCCATTACTCCTCCAAATTCGATTCGGATTCGCCTTCGATCACCGCATAAACCCTAAAACAATGCTCACATGCTCACAATTCCAAAAATTCATACAAAATTTTTTAACATCTCCCCAGGCAAATACATTACAAATGTGGAGATTATAGAGCTCGGAGTGTCGCCGGAGTCTGTCAAAGTCGCCGGAAAGTATTCGAGACTCGCCGGACGGTGTATTGAGAGAGAGAGAGAGCTGGGGAGGCTACTCCCTGGTTGTTGTCTCTCTCTCTCTCTCTGTCTTCAATCTTCTGAAATTCAACCTCGTAAATGAATTGGACGGTGGGGATGAAGGGTGATGGCTAATCGGACGGTCAAAATTGACAAGAAATTATCTACGGACGGGAGTTTAGGAAGGGTGGTTGTTGGTCAACAGCTGTTGGATTAACATAATTAGTTCCCTCTTAAAGTTCTAACACAAAATAGTGAATGGGAAAAATGAAAAAAAAAAAGGCAAATTACAAAAACATTGGTAAAAATATAGATTTTTTTTTGAAGTTTGAGAAATTATATCTTGTCTCCTGAGGTTTATATTTTCATAATAAATTGCCTCCTGAGTTTTTATTTTTATATAGATTCTCTCCTAATTTTTCCTAATTTGTTATGAAAATTTGACCCGCAAAGGTAATTTGTAATTTCTCAGCCCTCAGAGGAAAATTTGTATTTTTACCAAATCTCGAGAGGAGTGTTTGTAATTTGCCTAAAAAAAATTACTCAAACATACAGTGTAAGTGTGTCTGTAATGGATTGTAATGAGTGTAATTAGAAAGTTGTGAGATATAAGTGCCGCTTTATACTTTTCACATAAAATATAAATGTATTTGTGGTGAGGTATAATTGAAAGATCATGAGATATAAGTATCATTTACATTTGTTAGTTTTCTTTCTTCCGTAGGTTATTTTTTCCTCTTCTCTTACTTGTCTGTAATTTTCCATGATGAATACTATAATTTAAACCAATAATTATTAAAATTTGCTCATACAACATTGAATAATTTCTCAATATGACTTGAGTGAACATTGGAGTACGAAATTTACAATTATTTGAGTAAATAAATTTATAATTAATTGATGCTAAAAAAGTTATAAATTCTTAATTAGTTATATAGTGGTAAATTACAAACACATCCCTTAAGATTTTATTAAAATACAAATCGCCTCCTGTGGTTTTAAAAATTATATTTTATCCCCTGAGATTTCTAATTTCATAATAAATTGTCCCTTTTATTAATAAATCATCAAGTCAATTAATAGTTTTTAATAATGTTAAAAGTATATTTCAATTAATAATTTAGGTAATTTTATTATTATATAGGAGAACAATTAGGAATTTTATTTTTTCAATTAATTTTGTTAAATAAAAATTCTAATAAAGGGATATTTATAATTTTTCAAACTACAAGAGTCAATTTGTATTTTAAGTAAACTTCAGAGAATGTATTTGTAATTTACCCTAGATATGGGTTAATAGGATTGGAATTTTTTAAATTTAGGATTAAATTTAAATTTGATAGTCATGTACGGTTTTAAGATATTTATCACAAATCTTATTTTGATAATTTGAACAATTTATTTTATAAATGTCATTTTTTTTATAGACAAATATAACAAAATAAAAATATTATTTTTATCGAATCAATTTAATTTTTTTTCATAAATAATATACATAAAAGACTTTAGAAAAATATTAGGATTAGGAGTTGTGCATCCGTAGTTGTTGACTTTTGGTGAATAGTGATAACTTTTTAACTTTTTGAGTAACTTTTTGACTTTTTAACTTTTTGGGGTGTTCCCAAACTTGGCCTAACAATCATATAAAATATAGATTACATCAATAAAATTAAGGAAAAAAACAAAGAGTATCACAGTGCTACCTTTGGGAGTTATTTCCCTCTAGATTTTGTACTTGTTAGTGGAACACAACAAATTTGTTGGACGAGATGCTTGGTGGTCACCTTTCATAGGTATTTGAGAGGTAATTATTTTCGTTGATTTTTAAATTTTTTCGTAAGAAGTCGTATAAAAAAACAAAGATAGCAGTGTGATTCGTTTAATTTAGTTTTGTAATTATAATTTGAGTGTGAATTTGTAATTCAAGTGTAAAACTATGAGTTGAGTTTTGAAATAATAAAATATTTGTTTGGTTATGAGTTTCGAATATTTTTTTTTGAATTTTGAAAAGAATTTAATTTTTGAAAAAAATTTTAAGTTGTATTTTAAAATTTGAATTTTGAGTTGTATTTTGAAATTTTTTATATTTATTTTTTTAAATATTGAAAAATGTTTTTAAAAAAATTATTTTTTATTTAATTTTTTTTTATTTTATTTTGCATATATTTTAATTTTTATAATTTTAATATTTTAAACTCAAAACATAACTCCACACTCAAATCGTAACCAAACACATAACTTAAAACTCAATTCAAAAACTTTTTAACACATAAATCAAAATTCATAACCAAACATATAATTCAAAACTCCACACTACTCTAAAAACTAGTTTTGAAAATAATTTTTGAATTGGGTTTTAAATAGTTTTAAGTTGCGTGTTTAGTTATGAGTTTAGAAAACAAAATTAAAATTTTCCAATTGGAATCATAATTTCAAAAGAGAACCAAACGCAATGTTTTTATTTTTGATTATTTTAACAAAAAAATCAACACCTCAAAATGGGGCCTGAATATACATTGATTAACAACACTTTTAAAATAAGCTATAAAAAAATAAAACAATACTAGTAATAATTTCTTTGGTAAATTATATAAATAGTCCTCATAGTTTACACGATGTGTTAATTTGGTTCCCGTTATTTTAATTTGCTCAATATGGCCCCTTATTTAACGAATTATGTCAATTTAATCCAATAAATAACGGTTAATAAGTTTGGTGGTCAAAAAGTCAAACTATGTGTTAATTTGGTTATTGTAGTTTACACAATGTGTAAAATTGACACATTATGTAGACTTTCCGTCCACCAAACTTAACAACCATTATTTATTGGACTAAAATGACACAATCTGTTAAATTAAGGGACAAAATCGAGTAAATTGAAATAACAAGAATCAAATTGATATATCATGTAAACTACAGGACCATTTGCATAATTTACTCTAATTTATTTATCAAAGGACTTTCAAGAGAATTAACAACAACAACATCAAAACCCTAACAGGTGCTGCAGAAGAAGAAGAAGTACAGCTAGTTCTCTTTCTCTCTTTCACTAGTACTACAGGGTCTCCTCTCAATGCCCACAACGATGGGATTTTCTATAATCATTTGTTCAAACACAATTCTAAGATTTTTAAGAAGTATTTAGTTCATTCAAATAAAATTATTATTATGTGAGAATGTTTGCTTTCATGATTTGATTAGCTAAAAATGTGATAAAAAAAAATATTTTAAATAGAATCATTTACTACAATATATAAGAGTTGAGACAAGTTTTTTTTTTTTTTTTTTTTATTTCTAAAAATAAAAATTTTGTTGTAAAAAACGTTTAGGGACTAAATTTAGTTGCCTCTAGGACAGCCACTAAAAATCATTCTGAAATGTAAAAAAAAGTCTTTGCGGGACAAAATTTTAAAAATATCGCTAATAAATGTACTTTTAGGGACAAAATAACTAGGTCCTTAAAAAAGTTTTTTTTTAGACAACTTTTGTTCTCAAAAGGTTAGTAATTCATCATTAAATGTTTAATTTTGTTGCTAAAAATAAAATAATAATACTTTTGGTGATAAAAATATTTTGTCCTTAAAAAATAATTTCGTCCATAAATTTTTGTCTCTAAAATCTTAATTTTTTGTAGTGATTGCTTACCATCATAAGTAAATTACATTTTATAGTAAGATTAATGTTTGGCTTTATTTTCAAAATTAATTTCTTAATTTTTAGAAAAAATAAAAATTAGTTTGATAAATAATACTAAAAAACTTATAAAATAATATAGAGATGTATAATAGGGAAAATAACCGTACACTGGGATAATAATAAAAATTACAAAATCTTAAAACGCATAACATTTTAATTATTAAATTATATAAATTTTACCATTGATTTATATTTATTTTTTTTTGCCACCACTTTGCTGTAATTGCCCCCATATGATAAGATATAACCCTCTCCCAACCCATTAATCCTGCCCCTATCCAAGTCCAAATTAAAGGCTTCTAGCTTTTCTTTTTTCTGTTTTATTTATTTATTAAAAATGATAATTGGATTCTCCTTCTTTTTCTGAGTAAAGAGACATATGATATGTGGTTACCTTTTAAAAAGTTAAAATGTGTTAGAGATGTCACCTACTTATGTGCATGAAAGAGAGTGGTGGTTATTTGTAGTTTCATTGCAGCTATATATAGCTTAGAATAACTACCATTCAAGGGAAGAATCATAACAATTATAATGCCTTTGACAGTAGTAAAAAAAAAAAAAAAATCAGAAAGTGTGTCAAAACTTTACCAAAAATATGTCAAGAATTTCAAGTTTATGGGTAGATATTCCAAGTTGATGTTATGGAATCCCACGTTAAATGAATTTGACCATGGATAATAATTTTTAATTTTTTTCTTTTTTAATTTTTTTCTTAAATCATAGTATTATTGTAAAAAAATAAATAAATAATTGATTTTAAAACAGCTTGTCCTTGTAAGTTATAATTGATAGGAGAGAAAATTGAATCTCAAAAGAAAAGGTTACAATTTTAACAATCAGTCACACATTTATATAAATATTTTAATATACTTTTTACACATATATATATATATATAAATATTAACTACTACTAGATAAGTGGTAATTAACATTTTTGAAAATTTTATATGTAGGATCATAGTCTCCATTTTATTAAAAATATTTTATTTTTGTTTGTGTAAATTAGGTAAAATTATTATAAAATCCCCTCTCAAATCCTTATAATTCCTGTTCTTTCCGTACAATTTTGATATTTATACAAAAACTACAACATATAAAATGTTGCTGATGAAATGAGAGTGCCAATAACATTCTCTCTCTCTAACTACAGAATTTAGCCTTTTTGCAAACCAACAATGGGTTAATTTGTTCAGTCAGAACCCTTACATCTTTCCTAAAAGGTCAATTATTTGAATTCTGTTATCTATTTGTTGGTAAAAAAAAAAATTAGCCTCGTTATGCGTTTTGCACGCGCCTTTCTTTATTAATATAATTTATTCTCGTATCTTATATTATGTTATTTCATCAATAAAACTTCTCTTTTGCTGATAATAAAAAAAAAAAATAGCCTCTTCCCACACTCAATGCATGTGCTAATAATGCTAAGAATGTGAAATGTTTAGATATTATTTCTCTTTCATTAATTTTAACCAATTGTGGAGAACAATTTTGAAATTTTTTTTTACACAGTATTGTTCACACCAATCTTTGAATATCTAATATTTTTTTCAAAAAATTAAAACTATCAACACGAATATACAAGTTATATGTAAGAAATGAGTTTACATGGTTACACAACAGACAAAAGGATGCACCAAACTCTTAAGTAGAGGAGAGAAGTTTCTCTCTCTCTCTCTGTCTCTCTCTCTCTCTCTAACTTGTTCCTAGATGGTAAAAGGAGAGGAGAGAAGTGTACAATGGCATAGATTTTGAGGCTCCACAAATCTTTACTAGAAGCTGAAGCTTATACCAAACAATATTCATTACTTTTGCTTTCAGTCTGCCAAGATTTTTTACACATACAAAATAATGAAAATGCATTGTTTTACATACATATATATATGATTTTCTTGTTTAATCTTCTACTGGTCATGCATATATTTATTTATTGGTGATAATAAACAACACCATTTGAGTAAATTCAATATTTTCAAAATATCACGTGACATCAGTTATTTGGTGTTTCTAATCAATAATGAATAAAAATTTTATGAGCGGAATAATGTTAATTAACTCACCTAGGTAGTTTTTTTTTTTTTTTGAACAACTTATATTAGGTAGTTGGAAAGGAGACAGATAATTCATTAATTTGTTTTGCAATTCTTATTTGTTGGAAATACATGGAGATATTATCACATGATTGTACTAGCAAATGATTGTACTTCATTTGCGGTGCCAATCTAGTTGTGATTATTGAAGTTAGTTATGATGCTCAATGCACTTTCCTCCTTTGTTGATGTTTAAGTCTTGCATGTATCTTACTATTTTCATCAATGAAGCTTTAAGATTTGCTAATAAAAAAAAAGTTTCTATCATTTCCACCCCTTAGCATTAAATCTATATATATCTATAATGTTAGATTGGTGTTGATACTTTTTTTGAAAATTGTATAACACGCTCTTTTCATTTTTAAAATTGTCCAATAAAAATCCTTTTTTCACTGTTTGAAATTTTTTCTGTTTGTTTTAATTGTCAGTAAAATTATAAAATACACGATTTAAATTGCTACAGTCTATGTGATACCACTTTTGATATATATAATTATGTATGTATGTATGTATGAATGGCAATATAAATGAGAGTAGGGGCCCTCTTCCATGAGATGGTGAGCTCTCCCTTTCAGCCATTATAGACATTCTTGGATTCTTGTGAGTTATCAGATTTTGATAATGTTAAAACCTAAGTTAGATATTCATCCTTAATGACCACAATCATGGAGGATGAATATGTAAGATTCTCTACTTTGTCAATTAGTGAAGAGCCCAATCTATATGTAATTCACAACCTATGTGATCCATCCTGCTGGCTGGTTTTATATTTTTTCATTCTATTATTTTTAGAAAAATATTAGACAAATTAACACATTCTATATATTTTTCCTGCTTGTTGATATGACACCTATCACATTCTTACAGGGGGTCACATTTTAGATTTTAATTTTTTTTTATTGTGACATTTTAGTAAGTAACAAAATTTTAAAATTTATTAATTTATAAAATATTACTCTTTTAATGCATTGAAAAGGAATCAGGGCAAAAATGTTATATTATAGATACTAAAAATTCTTACAGTTTTTTTTATCAGCAAAAAAGAACCCTTTATTAATGATAATGAAAGTACAAAGTACAAGAATAAAATTATCAATAAAGAGAGGGAAATGCAAAAACATCAGGCTGAGTAAGATCATCCCAACAAAGTTGGCGCTAAAATGCACACCTTATCATTTGCTAGCACACCACACAATTATGAGGAACTAACTAAAACAGTACAAAACCAAAACAAAAAAGAAAAAAACAAAACAAAACAAACACCCTAAGAATTCTTATATACCTGTAAATATTTGATTATAGTATTTTTTTGGTACCACACAAAAAACATTTCATAAAATCTTTCACGATAAAACCAGACTTTTAGTAAGAGGAGCCCAACTAACCTGTAATATACGTAATGTTATATGAATAAAAAAATTATAACTAATGATGTAGTAAATTTTGATTTTATTATTTTAAAACACAAGATCGATCAAATTGACTTATATTTTTAAAAATGTCATTGTTCCATTATTTTAGTCAATTTTTATATAAAAATTCTGTAAATATATGATTTTCTTTGCAATATACACGAATTTATTTGTGGTGAGAATTTTATATATTTATCATATTCATGTTAAGAATTATGGGAAGGATCAACAAAAGTAGTGCATTCATCATTCAATCTCAGTTAGATACACTAAAAGTAAAATATATTTTGATTGGACCAAGGCAATGGTGGAGTTGTATAGGCTCTAATGGGGCCAACTCATCCTCTAAAGTTTTACAAAATTGTATTGGATTGATGCACATCATGCATTCCAAAAAAACTTTTGGCCTTTTTATGTAAAATAAAATGATAATTTGCCAATTTCATAAGAAATAAATGCTGTGATTATGTATTACATGAAAGTGATGCACTCTTCTTATATATTCTTAGACTCCATTTTGTTTTTATTCATCAAATTTACAATAAAATCCTTCAATGTGCCTTTTTGTTTTTGTTGAGTTTGTGAGCCAAGGGTATTACTGCCCCTTCATTATATGAGTCAAGAGTAAACTGGTATTTTCATCATATAAAGGAAAAAGATGGAGTGCAAGAGGATTAAAATTAAGAGTGTGCCAATGTAAAATTTTGGTTTCTATAAATTTAGCTCAACTAGCCCTAAATCTTTTCATATAGTTTAAACATTTATTTTCAACTTTAAATGCTTTAATTTCTTGCATTGTTTTTTTTTTTATCAGCAAATTGCAACTTTATTGAATAATAAGAGAAGTACAATTTCCTGCATTGTTTACTAGAGATGTTGAGAAGAATTGAAGTCAAGAGGGTGAGTGATTATTTAATCAAAGCCACATTGTACTAAGTTTTTTCACAAGCAAAAAACACCATAGCACCCATGACATGTTTACAAATGCCCCAAGTACCAATTCTTGATTTAGCCAATAAATTCAAACCACATATGAGATCCTAGCTAAATTGCACACCTTGAATAGTCAATGTTACTCTTTCCTCACACAAGTATCAAGGGGTTACCTTACATGTCTACCAACACATTCCTCCTGCACATGATGCCATCCACTACCTAAGGCATTGTATGTCCATAGTGTTGCATCAATGTACTACTTAAGTAATGCAAAATTTTGTATGTAACCCTTAAGTGCCATTACACCAAACATAAGATACTTTACACATAAGACATGATTCAGTGCCATCTCATATAAATTTATTAGTGTGTGATGTTGCCTTCTTATCTCATACCTTCATCCACGAGATCCTATAAGTCAAGTTCAAACTAAAATCAATACATATAGATTGAAAAATATAAGGGTTTTGTTTGGGTATGGCACACGAAAGCTACACTCTTAGTAACATCTCAAGCCGAGTGAGCTATTGGGACCCTATAAAAATTAATCACTTTGCTTGTTTTTGGATTTTTAAAAACACTTTTCAAAAAATTTTACTTTTTTTTTTTGTGTTTTTTTGTTTTTACTGAATTTTTTTTAATATTTTAAGCAATTTTTATTTTTATTTTTAGACACACTTAACATAAATATACATAAAAAGTATAATTTTTGTGAAAAAAAAATCTTTTAAAAATTCACTAAATACCAAAAATATAAAAAAAAAATACGAGAATTCAATATATTTTTCGTATTTATATGTATTCATTAATTTTTTAAAATATTTTTTCATAAAGTTTTTCCTTTTTAAATACATCTAAGTAAAGTGTATCTAAAAAAGTAAAAAAAAAAATACTTGAAATTTTAAAAATATTCACTAAAAAAAATATAAAAAATTTAATCCAAAAAACTAGAATCAAACACAGACAATATGATTTATTTGAATCTGATTTATACTCTTTATATTCTAATCACTTTTTAATATTCAAATACATACAAAAAGAGGTGTTAAAATTATTAAAAATCTTAGAAAAGTTAGTGTAATTTTTTTAGAACCAAAGGCTCCTTTCAATGGCTAGGTGTCGTCATCGTGGAATTAGTATATTAATTTTCTCTTTTTGATGGTAATATTTTTTTGTAAACCTTTGATAGCACTTAAAAAAAAATTAAAGATTTAAAATCTTAAATTTAACTACAATGACATAATGGATCATAAATTAGAAATTAACACATCAAATATATCTCTCATTAGAAATCAAATCAAATTAAGTGAAACTTTTTAGGCATAAAAAATATTATTCTATTTTTTATTTTTTATTTTTTACTTTCACTTATTACCGCAGTTACAGGGTTAGGGTTATCCACATATCCCAAGTGACCTTTTGTCTGTTTATTACCACACAAATTTAGGGTTTTCACGAATGTCACTCCCACGCTCATAAACAGAGCGTGATTACACGCACCAATCACAACCCTTGTCAGTGCAGAAAAGCACTTTCACCAAACCTGACAAGACAGCAACGACTAAGCTAATCGCCAAAACAAAGCGTGAAGACAACGCGCGAGAATAGCATTTGACTAGGGTTTCCAAGGAATATTTAAGTGTGACAGCAGGTGCTGATAAGATCCGTACTAAATGCCTCGCTGGCACTATTCCATTGGTTGAAATAACGGCATCATTACAGATGAATAGCATACGATAGATCCCAAATGACACAGATGTCTTTTTTTATTACAAAACAAAAAAAAAAACACAATACAATACAACACAACACACCCTCTCTCTCTGTCTCTCTCTCTGTCTCTCTCTCTATCTTCAACGCAAAGCTCTTTTTCTCTCTCTCTTCTCTCTAACCTAGAGCTAGGGTTTTCGAAGATTTCGCACTCAAATTCTGCTCCAACAGCTCTGAATCTGCTCATGAGGTTCGCATCCATAGCTTCGTCTTCAGATTCTGCAACTGTTGATGCTGTTTTTAGGGTGTGCCGCGAAGTATCGGAGCGAAGCTAGTGAGTGGTCCATTTGATCGGTGTTTCGATAGAACCAAGGTACGTTTCTGGGTTTCTGATTTCTGTATGTGGGTTCGCAGATGGATTCGGGGGTGATTTTTTTGAGCTTTTTGCTGCTTTTTAATTTTATTATTATTAAAAGTTCATTCTTGCTGTCGAAATGTGAATTGTACGTTAAATTCACTGATTATTTGACCTATTCGTTTTTGGGTTTTGTAATTTATGTCTTTTTATGGTATCTTTCGCTTAATCTTGATTTTCTTGATGTTTGAAGTGGGGTAGAGAGTTTTGATGTTTTGAATTCCGTTACAAACAAACCCTAAATTTTTTTTTTTTTGGATGGAAATGATATATGTGTGTGATTGTGTTATGCGAAATGAAGTTTTTTGCAGGTGAGCTTTGTGGAGCTGGTTTGTGGGGTCTATCTTAATTCTTGATATATTGAACTGACTTTGGTATTTGTTTTCCATATTTAGAAACTGTTTATCATTTCATAAATGAAAACCCTAATATCTGTTGACTTTTTTGGGGGGGTCAATTTGGTTGACTTGTTTGACTACATCTACTTCCTAAAAGGTTGATTGTGTTGTTTGTAGATGATGAAAGTAGAGTGACTGGAAACAACTTCATCTTTGTTTTCATTGAGAGCTAGGGTTTCTAACAGCTTTTCAGTAAAGTCTTATGTACTTGTGGTTAGGTTGATTGTTATTTTATGATGCAAAATCAAGGTGTTTTTAGTTTGTGCTTCATCTGGCGTGAAATATTGCTTATTTATGACCCGCACTTTCTTAAAGAATGTATAATCCTTTCAAGTATGTTAACAGCACTCGTTAACAAAAGTCATACTATTTTTTTGAGTCCTAGTGACTGAGCCCTAACATTTCTGTTTGTTCTTCAGGCATGAACTTATGATGTGCTTTTGAAGTTTGAGGCCTATAGACTTTCATCATGTTTATTTGATATCCTGAGCAATTGTTCTAGTATATGACTGATTTATTTTTATAAATTAATGTTGTGGATTATTGTGTGTACATTGTGCAATCGAGATTTAATATACTAATGCTGTGATTTTAATTAGTTATTTTGTGACATGGAGAGGAGCATTGTGGTGGCTGAAAATCAACAGAGAAGTGATTCTACTCCCTTGTCCAAGTCATCTGGATCACTAATCAGGATCGACACTATATCTATAAACCTTGCTGGTGCTATGGATAACCATCACGAGGCAAGGAATTGTGAGCATTTTTCTATACGGTGAGCCTTCTATCAGCTATTTTATCATTCTTGTTTGACTATTTTTCTATGTGTTTATCTTTGTTTCCAGTTTATAGGACTTTGGTTAAGTACCAAGCCTCTTGTTATTGAAATTTTTTTTTTTTTGGGGTGTGTGTTGGGGGGTTGGTGGGGGTGATCTTCACATTTTTGAAGTTATGTGATTGACATGGGCACTTGACTAGCAGACTAACTTCATTGTTCTTGGAGAATTATTCTGAACCTTTTTGTTTTTCATTTCTTTTTTTTTTTTTTTGCGGTTTTGTTTTCCCCCATAGTTTGTTGTTTCTTCATAATGTGATTCTATTACTGGTTTATTTATATTTGCAAACATTTTCTGGTGCTTGTATGATTGTATTTGTATTCTTTTTCTTTGTCGTAGTTGATAGCAACTTGAACTGAGTAACATTTGGATATAAAACTAGAAAAATGAGCTCTATTACTCTTTATCGGGTAACATAGATAAGGACTTTCTTCAAAGACTCAACTGTCGCCTACTAAGTTTTGTAATCCTATAAAGCATATACTGAAAAGAATGCAAGTTATACAACAAGGGTAGTTTTTGTAGTATATCATATCCATGACTCCATGCTACCAATTTAATTTTGGCTTCTGGATTCTTTGTGGGAGTTTCTAATAAATTTTCTTTTATTGTGGATGCAGTGGATATGCTGCCGAAATGCGAAAAAAAGACATAACTATTTGTTTGCCATTTGATTTTGATGGTAACCAGAATAAGTCAGAGGAGCAAACAAGCATGCTTCCTCCTTTACATGTTGCCAAATTCAGGTGGTGGCGTTGCCAAAATTGTCAAAGGGAGATTGGTGCTACAAGTGCTGCAGAAGAAATTGGATTGGTTCCTGATTGTTGCCAAAGTGGACTTTTGTCCATCAACACCTGTCCTCACATGCAATCCCCTGGTGATGCAGCAACGGTACTGTCAGATTCACAGCAAGGTCCAAGGCTTGACAATTTTGTGGGAAAGACAACTGATGTCAACACTTCTACCAATGTAAATAGAGATGTAATTCGGCTTTCCTCATGTGGTTATATCGAAGAAAAAAAAGGTGAAGCTGGACATACATCTGTAATTGGTATATTTCTATCTATTGGGTATTTAATTATGATATTCTATTGAACAAAGTAATAACATTGAGCTCTTTTATTTATTTATGTATTTAGTTTTTTAATTGTTCCCAGGTCCTGAGAATGGTCCAGGAAATCATGTAAATCAGAAAATTAGCCATCCAACTTGTGATGTAACAGAACTTAATCCATGCTTGATTCGAGAAAGCCATGCAGACGGCCTAGGTAATTGACTCTATGCCAATGATGTTGGCATCCAAGCAACAGTCGCGAGCATTGCCTTGTGAAACTGCTTTGTTATGGATCCATCTGCATGTAACTTTAGTACTAATGCCTCTGATTTTTGAAACAGATGCTCTTAGATCAAAAAGCAGTGGCTTGGTGGAATTTTGTGAGCCAAGCAGAACTCATGCAGCTGCGGATACTAAAAACCTCAACTACATGGGTAACAGTTCTGCTGAAATTTGTCAAATGGGAACACTGACTTCTGCTCGTGGTGACCAGAGAATTGTATCAATGGCTTGTGAAATCCCCAAGGTAGCTGGTAGAACTGATGATGGTATAAATATTGTCAAGGGGAAGACAACCACAATTCCTTTTGTTGAACCGGAAGAGCATGATAATCTGTCATCTGAAAGTGATGACATCTTGGCTGAAAGCAGTCATCGTGATCAGCACCTTGATAATACAAGTGGTTTAATCCGTCAAAAAACTCAAAAAGTGCGCCTTCTGACTGAGTTGTTGGGTTCAAAAAGGAATGCAGAAACTGATCATGTCAGGACAGATAGTGCTCATTCCAGTGCATCTGCTGGGTCAGATTCAGTTTCTGCTCTCCGAGGTCATGTAGCTGTCCAAGGAAGTGTTATGAAGAATGTTGGTGGTCCTAAAGGAAAAAGAAAGATGTCTCAAGACAAAGATTGGAAACCTCTGGAGTTGATCTGTCCAAGCAAACAGATTAAAAAAGCCAAGTCATTCAAGGGAGATGCAAAAATGAGTAACTTAAGCATTGAAATTGCTGATTCTGAATCAGAAGATGCATCAGCTGGAGATACTTTGCAAGCTGGTGTGAGGAGTCAATGGAATCAATATAGAATTGACAGTAATTCTCCATCGAGTAAAAAGAAAAATAAGCAAACTCGCTTTGACGGTGGATATTCTCCCTTATTGTTTCAACAAGAGGTTGTGCCCAAAACAAATCAAATCAAAATTGTAGATGCAGAGAAACATTGTACTGATGCCGAAGGTGGTTTTTCACAATCAACCCATGATACATTCATTAACAGAGGAATGGAACCATATTTTGGAAGTTCTCTGTCTCCACAACAAGCTGAGAGAAAATCTAGTTTGTTTAAGAAAAAGAATAAACCAGTTGGGGCAATGCAGGCTTGTTTAATGCCTCAAGGGAACAGTGTGCTTGGAAGACCTTCAATCATAAGAAAAGATTTACATAACATGGAGACTGAGCCTGGAACTTCTACACAAAGTCTGGATCTCTCTCTTAACAGCTATGTGGTTGCACAAAGAAATGAAAAAAGACAAATTGCTCAGACTGGACATGGGATTGATTCACTGTTGGCCCAGAGGAAGGGCATTTCAAGAGAAGATCATCATCTGATAAAAGATATTATGTATGTTGGAGAGTCGAGTGTTTCTCAAAAATCTGCCCCAGAACAACTGTTCGGAAAAGGATTACTGTGTGATCTCAATGAGAAAATCACCAATCACAGAACGTCTCCTCTGCGTGAGATGCAGAATCTTGTTTCTCGGGTTGAAGACCGGAGTTTTTCTCAGCATCAACTATTGGTATGTGCTTTTTTCTCTTGAAAGATGCTATTAAGATCTTTGCTTTTTGAAGAACTTCGGCAAGATAATTTGTGGTGTGATTTATGTTTGTTTTCTTCTTGTTTGATTGTGATTATTATCTAATCAAGTTGGTGCCAATTTGTTTGGGATTTTGGTATCTGAAAGTTGTTATTGAGCAGCTTTTGCACTTTTTTCACTAGGCGCTAAAACTCATCATAATTGGTCTTCTCAAAGTTTGATTTATTAATATTAATAAGATTAGTAACTCTTATGGTTGTATTGTCAAATTGCATTTCCATACCATTGTGTTGCAATCACACACGATGATGATGGTACAAGTTATTGCTATTAATTTTTGGAAGAGGGACATGTAAAGGAACAAATGCATTCATTGGCAAAGGTAGATGTCCACTACATCCATTTTTAACGAACCTTCACACAAATCATAATTGAAGCACCACTATCTTTCTGGAATACTATATATATATTTTGGTAAACCAGAAAAGAAATTGGAACAGCTGCTGACCATTTTCTCATTTGTGAAACTGGAATTACAGTTGGATAACAAGTCTCTTTGTGGAATACTAAATTGGTGTAAACCAGACAGAAAAATTGGAACAGCTGGTGACTATTTTCTCATTTGTAAACTGACACTAGTGATCAATCCATAGAGAATTCCAGTTTACATGCTTGTATAATGGATTGGATTACAGTCTTTCTCATATCTGAGCTAGAGTTAGATAGACTTTTCAATCTCACATGATAAGTATTGCTTGTATAGTTGTGATGTCTCGTAAATTCACGCATTTTTTTAGGCCAAACATGCAAAGTGCTCGTTGTTCATTGTACTGCAATGTGTATGCACGTAGTGCATTGCAGGCTTGCATAAATAAATATATATCTGTAAATAAGAATCTCTGCCTTTTACCTTTCTGCATTTTTGTTTCATGTATTTTCTTTTGTACATCTCCTTAATGGAACTTCTATGCTTCAATATTCAAGAATACACTGAATTTGATGAAATGTAAATATTATTTTCCCAGGCTTTTGCTGGTACTCGCAAGAGTGAAAATACAAGTGATGTTCAAGAACAAGGAAATGACGACATCCCGATGGAAATTGTTGAACTCATGGCGAAAAATCAGTATGAAAGACGTCATTATGAGGCGGACAGAAATCATTTTTTCTCAGAACAGACCAATGACAAAAGAAATGCTGAGTTAATGGGTTTTCCTAGAGTTCATGGGAATGGGGTGTTTAGACCGTTACATGAAGACAGCAACTGCATGAGAAAACCTCCAGCTGGCATAGGTATGTTTACAACAAGGGAGAATATGGGACCCACCAAACAAAATCCCATTAACTGTTTTTCTGATATCCGTGGAGATCATTTCAATATAGGTCAATTGGAGGGAAATTCTGCCTTTTCAGGGTTTAGTGCATTTTCACAGTGCCAAGAGATGCGCTCAGGTAGAATCCAAAGATCTGATTCTAGTCCCATCAGAAATGTTACCCCTCAAAATTGCAAATGGAAAAATGAGAAGGTGCCAGGCAGATTCTCTTCTACCAAAAAGCCAGTCTTAGAAGTCTATAACTCATACCAGCATGGTTCACAACAGAGTGAAGAAGCAGAGCATGCTAGGTCCCTTTTGATGCCAACCGTTTCGAGAACTAATCACATGCCTTTTGGACTTAGCATTCCTCAAAAGAATGAAACTCAGTCAAGTAACCGTGAAAAATATTCACAATTCCCAGACACACCGCGTGATGGGAGAAGGATTGGGAATCTTGATCTGAACTTTATGAATCTGAATGCTAACAATCTTGAAAATCAGAATGGGAATTTTGGTTCAGAATCTTTCAGAAGGACATCTACCGAATATCCATTTGCTTTCAAGCGTGGGGGATTTGATCTCAACACAAAGGTATCAGGATCACTCGATCTACATTCTAATGAAACCATACCTGCTATGCAATTGCTCAGCCTCATGGATCCAGGGATGCAGTCTTGTTCATCTTTCAACTTGAATGGAAAACATAAGTTTTTCACCAAACCTTTTGTTCCCTGTGATCATCACCCAAAGGTTAGTCTGGATGGGACATCTAAGGTCCTTGAGAAACCTCTGATTCTCTGTGATCACCATTCGAAGTTCTCTGGGCGAGGGACTGGTGTGGTATATGGTGATAGCTCAAGACAAACACCATCTTCTTTTTATGGTAAAAATCACCCTTCAGAGAAATCTTGTGCTGTTGTTGATGTTGGTTCATTTGCTTCTCCGTATAAAAATGATGGTGAGTTTAAAAGAGGTGCTGATTTTACTGGTCAAGTTCCATTGAAGTCTGAAAAGCAAGGGAAAGCAATTGCACAAAGCCAAAGCCGTAGAAAATACCTTTGTAAGAGAGACAGGTGCACTGTCAACAGAAACCCGGCTGAGTTTAATGTTCAAGAAAGAGAAAAATACATGATTAGCGGTAAAAAGCTGAAATTCGGAAGGAAGATTCCTTCCAAAGGCAGATCCGGATTGATTAATGTCAATGGGAAGAAGCATCAGAGAGTCACAAAGCTCACAGCTATGAAAGAGCATCCACAACATTATACATCATGAATGTGCTCAAATGCCAAAACTGCGCTTTGAAACCTCTTTCATTAAAATTATGGTTGTTGGACAACTTTTCTGCAAGGGCATCACCGAAGACTGTATCTTGAATTTCCATCTCTCTCTCTTTTTTCTTTTTTTTTCTTTTTTTTTTCAGCAGATGAAGTTTTGAGGCTCTATTTAGCAATAATAGAAAATCTTACAAACTATATGGATGTTCAGACAGTAAAATTCTGGGGGCTATGAGACCATTTCCTCTGGATATCAACAGTTTCTTCCTTTTCCAAGTTGTGGGATGACAGCCATTGCTGGGGGCTAGGTACAGCCTGCATATGATCAATTGTGGATCGAGCTTTCATAATAGACTTCACATGTATTTTGGAATATGATCTATGTCATGCCTTAAGTTTTTTGTTTTTTGGTTTATTTAAGAAAAAAACTCTCAGATGATTGTTTAGTATTTTGATTGGTACTGATTTATGGTTTGCTGAATATTATGCTCTATCTATGACTGGAAAGGTTTGTGAAAAAGATCTGGAAATAAGCTAATTGAGGATATGATGTTTGTAAATGGAGATCCCTGGGGAGAGTTGATTATCTAATAGTTGATTCCTTGTTGCTTTTTAGTGTATGCTCATGTGGTAATTAATTTAGTGCCAGAGCTAGCTGCTCCGGAAACAGGTATTGCTAAAGTGTGGTAATTAATTTAGTTCAAAACCGCGTGTTTGGTTGTTTTTTTTTGCAGTTTGGATATGATTTATATTCTATGGGTGTGCACCTCTGTGGATTGGAATTTGATCTTCATATTGTTGTTCTTGTTACTCAGATCCCTTTGAATGTTGATATGGGATTTTGGGGTTGAGAGAGTATTAGTCATATCTGTCTTTTAACATTCCCCAGTTTATTGAATATTTGCTGTACCACTAGTGTTGTCTGTCTTTATTTTTTATGGTTTTGAAAAGGATTTTGTGTAGCATGTAGAGAGCGTGGTGTACCGGTCGCTCTCATAATCAATTTCTTACACTTTAAGTGAAATTGTAATCTTATTTTTTTGTCCATATGTGATGTTAATAAAGGTGACAAAACTTATTATGTGAGACATACACAAATTTTCTCCCTTCATTAATACCTCGAAATTTTTATTAAAATTTTACTTTAATTTTTATATTTTTATTAAAATCTCACTTTAAATATAACGGGTTGATTGTCAAAGTAAAGGAACTAAAAGTATAGAGGAACCATGTGAGATCTAAAGATTTTATGTGTAATTAACCCACCTATCTATCTATATATATATTATATAAGAAAAATAGGATTTCTAACCCACAAGCCTTCTAGGAGTTCGAACATCTCAATCTTAATTTTTTAATTTTTTGATTTAAAAAAAAAAATGCCTCAGCATTTATTGACTTCTCCCAACCCATAAGCCTTGTTAACTTCTCTCATACATGCTGCTACACCCTTTTCTGATGAGATTGTTAAGTTATTTTTATAAAAAATCTTAAAAAAATAATTTGTATGTTAAGAAAATATATAAAACAAATATAAATTCTTATTAAATCTATCTATATATTATATAAGTAAAAAAGGGTTTCTAACCACAACTCTTGTGGGAGTTTCAATATCTCAAACTAAAATTTCTAATTTTTTGATTTTAAATAATTAAAAAAAATCCTCTATAGCTCTCATTCAAGCAAAATAAATAAATAAATAATATCTCTTGATTTATGACTTTTAAATGGAAAGTATATTAAATATATAAAATAAAAAATAAAAAGTATACTAACCCATTTCAAAATTTAAATTTGAGGGGCATTAAATATGGAAAGCATTTCATTAATTTAAATTTAAAATTATAATGATTTATCCCATAACATATAAGTTGCTCCAATATCCCAATCTCAATTTTCTAATTTTTTTTATTTAAAAAAAAAAACTCAGCATTTATTAATTTCCCACAACTCCCATGTCTTTTGGGAGATTTGATTAAAACCCCTCTCATAATTATTTAATCGTTTTATTTATTATTTTAATGGTTCTTCTTTACAATTATTTTTTTTATTATGAAAAAAATATGATTGTAATTAGATAGCATAAAAATATTTGTGATTTGTATGATTGAAGTTATCTCCTTTTTTTGATATATTTGGTCTAGCCAAAAAAAGAAATTTATAATTTGTATTTGGTTTAACAATTTCTTCTTTTGTGTACTATTTTAATGGTTCTTTTGATTGAAATTATCTCCTTTTGTGATTTGTAAAAAAAAAAAAAAAATTATAATTTGATTTTTTAAGATGATTGAAGTTAGATAAATATAAACACTCACAAAGAGAAAAATATAAATAATTAAAGATGTGATGTGATATACTTTTTTACTTTTTACGGAAGGATGTGTAGAAAAATAGTGGTGTGATGCAATCCAAAAAAGATAAAAAGATAAGAAAGTGAGCTAATATGGCACTTCCCAAACAACCCCTTATTCGATTATCCCTTCCTAAAAGGTGTATTTTTTAAATATTTTTAAAAAAATTCTATTGGAAATCTTAAGTATATTGCTTTTTCTTTTATTCATTAATATTAAATTTTTAATTAATTTTATTTATTATTTTAAAAAATAAATTAGCAAATAATTTATATATTTATATATATAATTTTGTTTTGGTTGCTTAGGTTTTTAGTGTTTCTACCCAAATCCACTCAAATTTAATTTGAATTTTTAAATTTCTGCATAGATCCTCAATTAAAAACTATGTTGTTCAATATTTAAATAAATTTAAGCTCGACTCAATTTACTTGGGATGAGCTCACCAAAATTTACAATTCTAGTAAGGGGGTTGAAAGTTACATTATTTAATTTATGACAAATTAAAAAATAATAAATAAATTGTGTTAAAATTGTGAGACTTAAATTATAAATTTCAATCTTCTTTGTTTTCATATTTTACATACAAAATTTAACTATTTATATTATTTGGTATAAAAATATATTATTAATTTTTTTACCTGCCGTGGATAGTACGGTTACCACTAGTTCTCTAATGAACCATAAGATATATTTATTGGAGAAAATTTAATTTATGATGGAGCAATTGGGACATCCATATCTTCCCAAAGGAAAAATCAAAATGAGATCAAAATTTCTAAAAGAAACTATTTTAATACCAAAATTTTGTCTATCAAAAATGACTTTGAAGATTCCCATGATTGACTGGAACCATGCTGAGTTTTCCTAATCACGTGCTTTTAGAAGAATAATGTTTTAAAGCACTAAATTGGGAGTTCTAGAGCATCACTAATGATGTGGTACAGTGGCCCTCACTAAAGTGATGTGATGTTTTGGCTTGAGTTTGTTTGTTTGTTTTTTTTTTTTAAGCTCATTAGAGCTATTAGTGGTCCAAAAATTAGTGGGATGAATCACCACTCGATAACTAATCCTTAACGACAAACACAAAGAGCATGTTTGTTTTGAGGAATAAAGGTGGAGGATTGGACTATTAGTCTCATCGGATTGATAGTCTATTATTTGTTTACAAAATTTTGCTCCGAACTATTAGCCCCACAAATATGGGACTATTCTATCCCATGGGAGGGTGTGGGATAGAAACCAAGGGATTGGTATCCCATGGGATTATTTAGTAAAATGTCCATTTTACCCTCCATGCTATTACTTAGTAAACAATTAGAAAGGGTAAAATAATATTTTGAACATTTATAAATTATTTTTTTAGTGTTGTTAATTTAAAATTATATATTAAATTAAAATTATAAATTAAATTTAATTAAAAATAATAAATTAAAAATTATGGCCTTATAAATTAATTTTTTTTAGTGTTGTTAAAAAATTAAATTTATATATTGAATAAAATTATTTTTAAATTATGGCCTTATAAATTAAATTTTTTTAGTGTTGTTGAAAATTTAATTTATATATTAAATAAAATTATTTTTTTATTGTCGTTAATTTAAAATTATATATTAAATAAAAAATATAAATTATAAATTATAAATTAAATTTAATTGAAAATAATAAATTAAAAATTATGGCCTTATAAATTAAATTTTTTTAGTGTTGTTAAATTATAAATTATAGATTACAAATTTAAAATTATATATTAAATAAAAATTATAAATTACAAGGATAAAATAATCTTTTGAACATTTATTTTTATCCAGTCCGTCTAACCAAACATTGGATTCATTAAAAATAGTCCAATCCAGACATCTAATCCCATGATTAAACAAAGATAGGATACAAATCTAGTCCAATATAGTTCGGGATAATGTATCCCAGGACTAACAGTCCGATGGATTACAATCCCCCTTATCCAATCCGTCTAAACAAACGCACCCAAACAGTATAAAATTGTTGCAATTGACTATGCTTAGTGAATAATAATATTACAAATTCAGAAAAATTATTTAAAAAATTATTCAGAAAAAGAAAAAATTTAATGGTCTACAATCATTGTGACACCCACATTCCATTAATTTTAAATCTACACCATACACTTATTTTAGGATAAGGCCAAATTTGGCATGCACAAAATAATCCATCTTTTTATCTTTTTTCCATCACATCATCTTTCTACTTTTCTGCACATCTTTTCATAAAAAGACAAAAAGTGCACTTATTTAGGTCATCCCAAACAAATTTGAGACTACAGTTTTATGATGGATAGCAATTTTGATGTAATAATTCGATGAGACTTGAATTAAACCATCATGTAGGGCAAAACTGTCCGTCAAGTAAACTTGAAATTTTGTAAGTTCTATTTTAGTTTGTTTTCTTTGGGTTGGATGAAAATGAGATATCGACCTTCACAAAAAGGTGACAAATTACCTGCAAATGTATGTAAAACTCAAATTCTATTAAAATTTGTGTAAGAAACAAATGATCAGCAAACGAAATAACGGATTCCATCGCTTAAATCCAATCTTTTTTTTATGATAATTAAATGTTTGGATCAATTTATACATATCTTAACTAATTTTGGAAAATCAATTTCACTGTCCACTTAAAGCTAGAGCATGACACACAATATTCGATATATATGACAAATAATGTATCAGTCACAATCCAATATCTCCCTATAAATTGGGATAATAGACCATCCATAGTTAAATCCCAAGATAAAGTTATTCAAATTCAAATTAATTGATCTCTAAATAAGTTTTGAGTCATGCTACCATGGATATCCAAACTCGAGTCAGAAACCCGATCCAGTATTCCAACAATTTGCTTGATCTCACTCTTTGCATTTTTATTTCTTTGTTCATTTTCCGATAGTTAAGCAATGCAGTGTTTAGTTGGCTTCTCTCTCTCTAAAAATTATCATATGGGTCTCCAAACCTAGCCTCAGCTCCTTTGATTCTCTCCATTTTATAAAATAAATCTTCATTTCATTTGATAAGTTTGATACACATTTATCACAATTCCAAATCAACCGTCTATAACTACTATCTTATTATAAAAAACAAACTTAGTTAAATTATTTTACATTCATTTAAAATACAGATTTATTAATATAAAACTTTCATAATTATTAATAATGAAATGGATTCATTGATAAAATGGAAAATTTCCACTCACGTGGGAAACTAACTAGGGATGTATCTAGCATATGTACAACCTAAACACGGTTAACATATGTGATGGTTTATTTTTCCTACGAAGGAAAATATCATAAATGCGAGCATACCAGTAAGGATTGAAAAATCCTTACAGATTAAATTCAAACCAATTATCAAGTAATTGTATTGACGGTTCTTTTGTCTCAATGAAGAGGATTTCAAAATTGCCAAGTGTAAAGAAAAGAAAAATTAAAAGAAAAATGAGGGAGACAAAAAAAGATAATTGAGTAAACAATCAAAGTAATAATTACTTACCTCTACTTCTATGCGTTGAAAAGGAAGTACATAAGATGCTTCGAAAAGGAAGTGCTGAAAATAAATATTTCGAAATATAAGTCTATGTTAAACTACTCTTAAGATAAGAAAAATGACAAGAAATATTGAAATCAATTATCTTTGATTTGAATTATGGATCCATTACAATAAAGCCATGAATGATTATTTATAGGCAAACACTTATAGGAAAAAAACTACCTAAAACTATCAACTCTTCCACCTCCTCCATTTCATACTCTATGTTCTTTCATAACTTCTTTCAACCTCCACTTCATGCTCCATGTTTTTCACTTTGTTCTCCATCATCTTTCCATATTTCATAACTTCTCATAACCTCCAAATGAGTAGGAAGATGCCACATGTCCTGCAATCATATAAATAATAAATAATAATAAAATTACATATTTATGGTGCTAATATTATGCAAATTTGTTAGTGTGCATTGTATGTAGTTTTAAATAAGGATATTTGTGAATATTAGGCCAAGTTTGGGAAGACTAAATAAGTGCACTTTTTGTCTTTTTAGTGTGCATTGTATGTAGTTTTAAATAAGGATATTTGTGAATATTAGTATCAAAAGTTTAAAATTTTAATACATAGAGATTAATATTATATAATTTATTTAAGCAAAATATATCAATTCCAAATGATGGCTAAGTGACTCATTTGCGAGTATTAGCTTGAGTGGAATCCCAAGGGTTAGCTTAGTGGTCAAGATTTGGGAGACCTTAAGGTGTATTTAAATTCAAAAAATTTGAAGTGTAAATAATTTTTGGAGTCAATTCATATGATGTTCTGCCTCGGCTTTAATGGAGCCCCTCTAGTAGATAGTGAGATTGATTGGTCTCCCGGACTAGTCAGTCTAATAAATTGAATACCAAGTTGTCAAAAAAAAAAATTGAATAGTAAGTCACCCAAATTCTATTTTGAAGATCTTTAATTCGAGTCTTGATGTCATATTTCGCTCAATATATGAGACTAGTATTTAGCCACACACATTTAGAATTTCCACTTATGTGATGATCTAAAGAGTCCTATCAAAAAAAATAATTGATCCACCAAATTTGAGCACGCTCGAATTGTTCAAATTACGTAAGTTGGACAATAGGCGTCATCCTTGTCAACCGCAATTGTTACCCTTGTCAATCGATATCCGTCCGGATGACCGGCCAGAGGAGTTAGAGTCACTGTTATGAGGTTTGCACAGTAGTGACTATTGTGCGGCTCGTGGAAATTATTTCAGATTTTATTTTGATAATCCGGACTATTCAATTTTTAAATAACATTGAGTAGAACATACATGTAAAAAATCAAGTTAATCAGATATCGATAAACATATCAACTCACATTTGTATTCATTTTAATATTCATATTTATTTTTTTATATATACAAATGTGAGTTGATGAAGGGCCTATCTAATCAACTTGTTTTTTTTTTACAGATACGTTCTACTTGATATTCTTTAAAAAATGAATGGCTCGGATTATCAAAATAAAATCCAAAATAATTTCCACGAACTGTCCAATGCTTCCTGATTGGACGATCAATATGCACAAATTGAAACAATTCAAACGAGCCCAGATTCAATAAATGTAATATTACTTGTGGTATCAATTCTCCGATATCATATCAAATGTTCGCCCTGTGGGAGCGGCAAAGGGTTTTTCTTTGTAGTGGCAAGGATATAAATTTTTTTAAAGTTTGGTTCTTTATCAAGTTGACAATTTGATTTGATTTTTTTAATTTTATTTTGTTAATAAATTAAATAGTGGGTCCTTGTGGTCCAAGAAACCATCAACCATAGCGTGCCCCGTCAAGCAAACGATAAATAAGTCATTCATTGTCGTGCCCTAAAATTCACTCTGGGTTCTACTTTTGCAGCAGGTTCCTTTTGTCTTTTTTTTTACCTTTCGGATGATAGCTATTATTTTTCCCCTTCTTGATTAATAAGCTGTTTTAAAGAAAGTTTTTTATTTGCTTTTTTTTTTTTTTTCCACATCAATTTTATGCATTGTAATTTTATATTTTATAAAAAAAAAATATTTAGAAGAAATTACAAAAAAAAAGAAAGAAAAAAAAAAACTTAGAATTTGATTCTGATGACAAATCAAACATTAACTTTTTAATTGTTTCATCTTAAAAACTTTTAAAATAGTATTCATTTTTAACTATTCGTTAGTTATAACTAATGAAACAAGGACATTTTAAACAATTTAATTTTCTTTTGTTGGTGGTGCTAGACGATACCAGTAACTTATAGACTGGGGAAGAAAGAAGAGGGCTGGGGAAGAAAGAAGAGGGGCGGAGTAGAGTGGATAAAAAACAAAAAGAGATGAAGGGATGACAATGGATTGGGCAAAAGGAGGGATGGTGATGGATAACAATAAGGGTGGGAGGTGAGTAATGAAGGAAAAAAAATGGTAAATTGTCAGTTTTTTTATTAGTAATAACTAGCATATCACCCGTGCTATGTACAGATTGTATTTATAATTATCTATATATATGAATTGTGATTTTTAAATGTCTTCTTTTTTTCTTTTTTTATATTATATTAAAGTTTAATATTTTGATAATAATCATATGTGTTGTGCTTTTCAAGGAATTAACATTAAATATCTTTTTTTTATTATATTATATTAAAGTTTAATATTTTGATAATAATCATATGTATTGGGCTTTTTAAGAAATTTTTTTATACTTGTTTTTAATGCATTAAATTGTTATTATGAAGGATAATAATCATATATGTTGGGACTTTTCAAGGAATTCATGTGTTGGATTTCAAATAATTTTTTTTATGCTTATTTTTAATGCATTAAAGTGTTATTATGTGGGTAAGACTTGAGGGTTGGGAGATATTAATAAATGCTAAGGTTTTTTTTTTTTAAATCAAAAAATCAAGAAATTTAAATTGGGAGATTAGAGCTCTCACAAGGCGGATTAAAAACCTCCTTTTGCTTAATATATAGTATAGATTCAAGGAATTAAATGTCTTTTTATTATTATTATATTATATTAAGGTTTAATATTTTGATAATAATCATCTGTATTGGATTTTTCAAGAAATTTTTTTTATACTTGTTTTTAATGCATTAAAGTGCTATTATGATGGGTAATAATCATATGTGTTGGGACTTTTCAAAAAATTCATGTATTGGATTTCAAATATTTTTTTTTATGCTTATTCTTAATGCATTAAAATGTTATTATGAGGGTAAGATTTAGGGATTGGGAGATGTTAATAAATGCTAAGGGTTTTTTTTTTTTTAAATCAAAAAATCAAGAAATTTAGATTGGGAGATTTGAGCTCTCCAAGGCTTGGGGTTAAAAGCCCCCCTTTACTTAATATATAGTATAGATATGTGTTAGACTTTTTAAGGAATTAAATGTCTTTTTTTTTATTATATTATATTAAAATTTAATAGTTTGATAATAATCATATGTATTGGACTTTTCAAGAAATTTTTTTTATACTTGTTTTTAATGCATTAAAGTGCTATTATGAGGGATAATAATCATATGTGTTAGGACTTTTCAAGGAATTCATATGTGTTAGATTTTAAAGAATTTTTTTTTTTTTATGCTTATTCTTAATGCATTAAAAGTATTATTATGAGGGTAAGACTTGCGAGTTGAGAGAAGTTAATAAATGCTAAGATTTTTTTTTTAAATCAAAAAATTAGGAAATTTAGATTAGGAGATTGGAACTCTCACAAGATTTGGAATTTAAAACCCCTTTTTACTTAATATATAGTATTAATAGATTAACCGATACAGACAAAGTATTATAATTAATATAATTTTATAAGTTCAAGATTTATTAAAATAATTAAAAAGTTAAAGTTTAATTTGTTATTTAAATCAAACCTTAGGAATTTTTTTTTTGTAATTTCCCCAAATACTTATACGTATAAGTGTGATAAAAAAATTTGATAAATATATTTAGAATGTTTTACCTGCATAATCTTCCATTTGTTAACTTAATGGGTGGTGTATCAAAAGAGAAGGACGAGGAGGTTGGTGATGATGAGAACGATGATAAAAAAAATATGTTATATTAATTAGCATGCGTTGGAAATAATTTATAATTTTAATAGGTTAAAAAATTAAGGTAAATTGCACTACAATGAATTGAATTGACTCTCCTCGTACCCCTATAATTAATACTGCGAGACACACACACACACACACACACACACACACACACACAGAAAAGAAAACACACACATATATATATATATATATCACAGCAATACTACAAAGAGTAATGATTCATCCCCCCTTTTCTCCCCACCCCCTTTGACCCCCTCTCTCTCTCATTGGTTACCTTTTCTTTTTCTTTTTCTTTTTTTTCCTGCTCCACCAATCACCCCCTGCCACGTGGCAAAGGGGAGTGAGGGGGTGACCCCCAAAAGGGGTCCCAAGCATTATTCTACTACAAATTTAAAAAAAAAATAAAATCAAAAATTTATTTAAAATTTGAATTGTGTGGACCAAATTCATTGCTCATATGCCCTACAATACATCAAGTTTAATCGTCACCAACGCACGTCTATTTTTTGAGTTTGTATATACCAGCTCATGTAATAGTACTTTGAGAGTACCTGCAGACTCTTGCTTCTTCATAAACAAGCCCATGTTGACAAAAATACCCTTTCTGAGGGCTGCAATGCCTATCTTCTGAACATACACACTGCCCTTCCAAAGCACACCCGTCATCCCTTGTCCCTCCGTTCCCAAACAGCACCTCATCAGACCACTCACTAGAGAACATGTTCAATGGGTCCAATTTCTTCTTTGCTGCGATAAACTTGTTGAAATTTGGGTATTTTTTAGACACGTCAAGGAATGCTAAGTTCCTATTCTTAGCCCAGTGTGGCCTAGCCCCATACTTGAAGAATGCCATTTGCTCCACCTCTTCCCACACATCTTGGCTTAGCCTTGGGCTCGAAGACTCATCAGCGCGATAGTAATTGAAGTCTACAACAACTGAGTCCTCAGACTGTCCTAGATATGCATTGGAAGATTTAATGAATCGGATTAAAAACCCGTTATAGATGTCCACTCCACAGAAATTTTCTGGTTTTAGGTCTCTCAGTCTCTTCACATCTAGTATGAAATTTTTGAAATTTTGAGCTGAGAAAATTGCTGTCGATTCGTAGAAGAATAGGCCTTTGATTCTTGGATCCCAAGCACATGAGGTGTCGATTCTTGTAGTTGGAGAGTATAAGCAGGAGCCAGAAGTCTGCATTTTGCCTTGGTGACCAATGACCGGGTAGCCGGTGAAGATCAGACTGTTCCTCAATCCATTGGCAATCAGCTTCTTGTAACCGATAAATGTTGAAGCCATTGTGCATTTTCCATTTATATTTCTGGCATTTTCCAATGCTGTCTCTGCTCATTTAAATAGTAGAAATGTGAATTCTTTCTTTCGATGTAACCAAAAAAAAAAAAAAAATTGTGAATTCTTGAGAAATGTTTCAAAAAAAATAGTATTGATAAACACACACATAAGCACGGATAAGGGAGACATCAATTTTTTAAAAATTAGAATACTAACACAGAAAAAATACCGAAAAATAATTATATATTTTTAGTTATTATGCATAAATATGACATTAGAGTACATAGATATGATAGGTGTTGATTTGAATGTGGGTTTTTTTTGTTTGTTTATTTTATCACTTTGTTCCTCTTTGTTTGTGTATGTTTTACTTTGATCTCAAATCATCATTCTAAAATTATTATTAAAAAAAATTACAAATATCTTGAGATATGTCTAACATAAAACACAGGTTCAAAAAGTACCCACAACTTACCCTCCAAAATAAATAATAATTTAAAAAATTGCCATGTCAGTATCAAACACTTATTGACCACGAATATGATACTTCGATTAAAATCACCTTTTTAAAATTATTATTAAAAAAGAAAAGAAAAAATCACAAATGTTTGTTATTCATAACACGTCCTACAAAATAAACAATAATTAAACCGTGTTTGATATATGATATCATCTATATACCTGCAGCTCTGGTTGATTTGGAGACAAGTATGAAGTTAGACTGAAAGCCCAGGAAGTCATTGACTCCATCACCAGTTGAGTTTGATGGAACTCTATCATCATACCTATACACAGCTTTATGTTTTGATGGATACCATGTTATGTCTCCAAATTCATGTTTCTTGGCATGCTCTCCAAATTGATCCTCAATGTCACTGTCATCCGTGAAATTATAGGTTATGCTTCTTTTGAATCCTCTCTCCAGTGATAATGTCACCTACAATTCATTCATATTTCACGTATTCTTTATTGGAAATATTCCCTCTTAAGTGAGAATTAAGTCATGAACCACATCCACATTGCTTATTAGACTTGTACACATTCATGTCACATTGCCACTTTTTTTTTTTTTAAAGAAGAAACATAATTAAAAAGTTTCAGCCCTATTTATGAATCTATATATAGAGGTTTTAAAATTTCATTACTATTTTTAAATCAATAATACTACAAACTCAAACTTAACTATTCAAAAATTACTTAGAATTACCATCTTGTAATTCAAATTTATTCTATATATTGATCTCATACTACACAAATTCAATCCTAACCACAGGTTCAATCAGGTAAATTCAGAGTAGTTAAGTGGGGTTTATAGAATTAGGGGTACTTATGTGTAGATCCTAATAAGTGGCTTTATTGTCTAATAGGTCTTATGGAAAAAAATTTATCATAAAAAGTCACTAATTATCAATTTTTAGTGACGTATGTAAAAAATTGTCACAAAAAAATTATTTTTAGCTATAATTTTATCAAAACTTATTTTCAATAAGTCCAACTATTATAATTTATTATTAGTTTTCCTACAGGTTTAATAGAATTTTATTGTTTTCAAATTTAGCGAGTTTAATTATCTTAATTGAAGGCAATTTTAGCTAGCTTTCGATTTGTCCTATCTATCAAAAGGGAAGTGGAATTTGACATCATGAAGAATATGAATCAATCAATTTTTTTTTTCTTTTTTTAAAAAATAAGAGAGAGAGAGAGAGAGAGAGAGAGAGAACGAACTAGAACTGACCTTGGAGATGACACCCAACATACCCAAAGAAACTTGAGCTGCATTAAAAAGTGGATCATGAGGAACCAATCTAATAATTTTAGCATACCCTTGAGATTGATTTGCTGGAACAATAAGGGTCAGTCCTATAACATGGTCATGAACAGCCCCACCCTTGCCCCACCAAGAGCTCCCATGTGCCCCGGTGCTAATTAGCCCACCCACACTAACACCTTCCCAATATGGTGCAGCCACCAAACTCAGCCCCATTGCCTCCACTCCATTGATCAGATCCCGTAGGCCGACCCCGGAATCCGCCGTCACCACCAGATTTGCCACGTCAACATCGATTTGAGACGTGTACTTCTCAGTACTTATGAGTATAGCCCCGCCAGACTGCGTGGCGGGGCTTGGGCAGGCAAGTTTTGGGATGGTGTGTGAAAATTGTGTGACTACTTTGACCTTGAGGTTATTTCGGGTTGCATTGGCCACCGTGAGGCGGAGCTCCTCCTCGGTTGTTGGGTAGATGACGGTGGGGGCATGGCAGTCTTTTCGGTCTCCCCACACGCCGTAGGAATTGTAGAGGGTACAACCGGTTTGGTTGCACTGGACCGGTGGTGGTGGCGACAATGCATTGGTGGTCACAAAGGCCAAGAGGAGGGTATGAAGGAACCACCAAAGGCAAGCCATCGAGAACTTTTGTCTATGGCTATGTGAGAGCTTGTGTTTGGGGCCAAATATGAAAGGCAGTTCATTTAGAGGAAAATGAGAGAAACCATAAAAGTAGTGCGATGAATTTGACAAGACAATGATATTTGCTTCTCTTTTTTGTTTTGTTGTCAATAAATCATGTTTTGGTTAATAAAAAAACACACAAAAATATATATGGAACATAGTTTGTAGTACGCAAAGTGCGTCGCTTGTCTTGGGGGATACCATTAATTGTCGTGGACGACTCTTCTTTTGGCTTCTAAAGATCAACTCTTAACAGTGCAGTTTATTACAACAGTAATGTCAGGGGTATGCGAGGTATTTAGAAAAGCAAAATTGGATTCTCTTTTGTTTATGTGAAAAATAAGATTGATAAGAAAGTATGATAGGAAGACTAAATTTAATTATTTAGTTTATTATGGTGATGGATATGATATGACAATATAAATTTTAAATTTAATAAGATTATAATTTTATATTTTGAACCACAAGTTATTATTTGATTGGTCAATAGATGGAATAGTTTCTAAATCTCCTACTTCAATGGGCAAGTGAAGTTATAATTCTCTCTATCTATAAAAGTATATTTTGATCACCCGTCAGTTATTCTAAATATAACGTATTCTATAGAAGGTCAAGAGAGAAAAACGTTTTCCACTAATATTAATATTAAGTTTATGTTCATTTCGCATAACAAATCCGAGTACGTTATTTATTTTTCGCATTATGTTATTGTTTGTAAAAATCATGATAGTTCTAGATTTTGGTTTATGAAAGTTTGGTTTACACATGGTATCAGAGCCAAGTTAAAGAATTATCATGATTTTTCATTAAATAAAATTAATAATTTCAATTTATGTCCGTCATAGTTTGTATATTGTTATGAAAAGGATTATGGTTACAAAATTTTGCTCAACTTTAATTATGATTTTATTTTATATATATATATATATATATATATTTCACGAAATAATATTTATGACTCTACGATGCATACTTTATGAATACACTCATTATTTTGATAAAGTTATGTTCTCATCGGTTTGTGGAACCCTTTGATTGATTGATGAGCAAAGATCCTCTAGAGTGATTTTTCTCTAAAGTTTCCTAGAGTGCTACATTGTGTGGTTGAGATTTATTGGCAAGTTACATCAATTTTTCTGATGTGACTTGTCAATAAATCTCAACCACACAATGTAGCACTCTAGGAAACTTTAGGAAAATTTCACTCTAAAGGATCCTTGGTGTTGATTGATGACCCATCCTTATCATTTATATTTCTGGCAAGGATTATATTGAATTGTTATTTTCAAATAGACTGAATAAATTAATATCTAAATAATTGAATATTTTGCATGATTTAATTGTCTTTATTATGAGAAAAGATTTGATCTGTGATGATCACTCTATTGTTTGATTTAGTAATGCTTAAAAATATTCGTATTACATAATAAATCATTATTATTCATGTTCTGCTAAATTATATATTATCAAATTTTACTGTGGCAAAACACATTGAAATTTTACTGTGACTTTTATAGCATCAAGCATATTATTATTTATGGATCTAATTGTTACCTCTAAATATTATTTTAATATGATGTTATTACCACTATTATGTATAAGTCTGATTTTTATGAGTGGCTTGATGAGATACAAAACTATGTATTTTCATGTGACATGAAATTTGAATGGTGTTAATATTTGTTATGTCTTAATATTATTCTTATGATTTAATAATATGCATTATGATTATGAGGATGAATTACTTGTGAATAAATTATTATTTATTCAATAATGTCTACACAAAGTTATTATTTTGTTTAATGTAAGACTAAATTTAATCATTTAATTATTATAGTGACCTACATGATATGACAATATGAATTATAGATTTAATAATATTATATAAGTTATTATCTGATTGGTCAACAGATAGAGTAGTTTCCAAATCTTCTACATTGATGAAAAAATGGAGTTATAATTGTATTAGGAAACTGATCATCTCTCTACATATAAAAATATATTTTAACCACTCATCAATTATTCTGAATATAACATATTCTATAGAGGGTCAAGAGAGAAAATGTTTTCCACTAATATCAATATTAAGTTTATGTTTAATCAATTTTGAATCACTCAAAGGTTTCGCATAATAAATCCAGGTACATTATTTATATTCCGCATTATATTATTGTTTGTGAAGAACAGGATAGTTCTAGATCTTGGATTATGAAGGTTGTGATATACATAATACCATAAATTTATTTACATATGGTGTAAGAGCCAAGTTAAAGAATTATCATATTTTTCATTAAATAAAAATAATGATTTCAATTTATGTCCGTCATTAATAGTTTGTATATTGTTATGACACGGATTATGGTTACAAAATTGTGCTCAATTTTGATTATGAGTTTTATATATATATTTATATATAGTTCATGAATAATATTTATGACTCTACAATACACACTTTATGAATACATCCATTATTTTGATGAAGTTATGTTTTCCTTGGGTTTGTGGAACCCTTTGATTAATAACCCATCCTTATCATTTATATTTGTGGTAAAGATTACGTTGAATTGTTATTTTCGGATAGAGTGAATAAATTAGTATTTGAATGATCAAATACTTTGCATGAATGTCTTTATCATGAGAAAAGATTTGGTCGGTGATGATCAATGTATTATTTGATTTAGTAATATCTAAAATATTCATTTTATATAATGAATCATTATTATTCTTGTTTTACTGAATTATATATTATCAAATTTTACTATGACAAAACACATTAAAATTTTATTTTGATCTTTATAGTACCAAGCATATTGCTATTTACGGATCTAATTGTAATCTCTAAATATTATTTTCGTATGATATTATTACTATTATTATGTATAAGTTTGATTTTTATCGGTGGTTTGATGAGATACAAAAGTATGTATTTTTATGTGACATTATTTATTCAATAATGTCTATGCAAAGTTATTATTTTGTTTTTCAATAATGTAAGACTAAATTTAATTATTTAGTTATTATGGTGACTCACATGATATGGTAATATGAATTATAAATTTAATAATATTATAGCTTCATATCTTGAACCACAAGTTATTATTTGGTCAAAAGATGAAATTATTTCCAAGTCTCCTACTTTGATGGACAAATAGAGTTATAATTGTATTAGGAAACTGGTTCTTTCTCTACCTATAAAAGTATATTTTGATTACCCATTAATTATTCTGAATATAACATATTCAAGAGAGAAATGTTTTTCACTAATATTGTATTAGTTTATGTTCAATTAACTTTGAATCACTCAAAGATTTCGCATAACAGATCCAGGTATGTTATTTATTTTTCTCATTATGCTATTGATTGTGAAGATCATGATAGTTCTAAATCTTGGGTTATGAATGTTGTTATACACATAACACATAAATTTATTTACAATAACTATTTGATCAGATTATGTTTATCATTAACAATGAATAATAAGTAAGTTTTTGAGAATAATTTTTTTTAAAGATAAGTATGATTTGATTATGTGACTATAATTGTTTAATCAATCTGAATTTTTGCATAGATAATCTTCTCGAAGAGCCTAACAATATGAACAGTTTAGATCATTAAAATGCATGTAACATCCTTCAATTGAAGGAATTCCAATCCTCAGAAAAATAAATAAATAAATAAATAAATTTATAAAAGTATCTAAATTTTAAGAATAAATTACATTAACTTCTCATGTGATTTGGAAAAAATACAAAAGTCTAATAGTTTTCTCATAATTACACCAACTTCACTTTCAGTAAGAATAAAAGAACTAGAATTAATGCATATAGTACTAAGATACAATAAATAAATAAATAATATAAAATATATATTTCAATGTAAATTTTTATCCCCAAATTCACTTACCATAAAATTAATAATACTGTAAACCCAAACTTTAACTATTCAGAAATTACTTAGAATTATTATTTTGTAATTCAAATTTATTCTATACATAGATGTCAAAATACACATATTCATTTTTCACCATACAATCTCATTTAAAATAAATTCAGATAATTAAGTAGGGTTCACAGAATTATTGCCATAACATTATAATAGGAAAAGTAAATAAATCAAGAACCATTTATATGTAGTCAAGACAATTTTTGATTGGTCTCTTGACCTTAGTGACATAAAAACTTCTTTGGAATAAAAAGAACTTTATACAACTCAGCTTTTTTTATGTTTTTTTTTCCTAAACCTTAAATTCATGATTCAAAAATGGAAACTTGAAGGCAAAGCAACTACGGCTTATGTATATATATATATATATACATAGATAGCTAGTCCCAACCCGAGTGTAATTCTTCTACAACTATCTTTGCCCTTTCAGAAATTGAAGCTATGAAGATGATGCTCAATGAAGACCCTCCATTCGACGATGAATTTCACAAGTTTCTCAATTTTGGAAAAAAATTAGGGTTGAGTTTCGCTTTCGTACCTGCAAATAACACTGCTCCTCATGATCATCGTGATGTTGTTTCTATTCAACAACCTTGTAATAATCAACAAGACAAAGATGAGATGATCGAAAAGTTCAAACATGGATCGCTTCATCTTCTCGTATCAACCAATCTTCGCGATCAAATTCAACCTAATTTAATCGACTCTACGGATTGCGCATTGGTATCAGAGTATGAAAGGATACAAAGGTGCAATGACTTGGCATTCAATGAAACAAACCAGTTTTGGGATTCCGATAACGAGACTTTTCTCAAGTTTATAATCGCCAAAAAGATTCAACAAATTGTATTTTTCAAACAGTCCATCAAAGCAAAAGCCGATGAATTGATCTATATTCTCAACAAATCTCTGCGTCCCAGATCCATCATTAACTTGCTATTCGCGAAGCAAATTCTGGCTTTCTGCGAAAAGAGGTTGAGCTTCTACGACGGGTTTGCTCCAATATATGCCCAGGTCATTGTTCTTGTGACTTCAAAACTCCCTCACTCAATGGACTTCTTTATAGCTGAGTTAAACAGGCTGTGCATCTACACTGTCCCAAAACACAGAAACTACTTAGAGTTTGCATTCGAGTCGAAAGAGGCATTTTATCGAACAGTTGGGTACAGAGAACAAGATGGGAAGATTGAAAGCGATGTCAGTTACTTAGAACGGTTGGCAAATTATATGAGACTATACGGGGCGCTGGTCCAGACAGAGGTCGAGGGGGCGGAGAATTGGCATGGGATAATGCACGGGTGGGCGTGGCTGGTGAGGTTCTTGATGGGGCTTCCTGCCAATGTGTATACTGCTGTGGCGCTCGAGGCGTTTCTGAGCATGGCAGGTTATAAGCTTCACAACAAGTACAAAATTCACTTCATAAGGATGATGAGTATTGTGTCTGAGCAGTTTTTGGAGGAGCTGAAAAGAGAGGGGGATCAGAAGGCGGTGGCAGTGCTCGCGAGGATTCAGAAATATATTGAAGGTAGGGAGTTTTTGCAAGAACCAGAAGGGTGCAGGGCAACTTATTATGGCTGAATTTCTTGGGATTTGAGGAAGTTTTAACAATTCATCAGAAGTTCAGAACTAGTTTTTGTTGGATTGCAAAAATATTATTTATTACAATTAGATTTATGCTGCCTTGTATTGTTCATATGATCAGTTATATGTTTCTTATACAGGCACAAGAGTGTTAACTACCTCCTATAGTTGATGATGTTGTTTTGTTCTGTTGCCTTTTATGTTACAAAAAAGAAGCTGTGTTCTCTGCTTTTTATTTCAAAAATGATTTACATACGAAAAATTTACACAACTATAAGCTTGATCGCAAGTGTTTTGATTAGAACTGTAGAGATTACAACAAACCACATCATTGTACAATTCTCTACACAAATTATGTTTGTATTTCTTGTTGGGTTGGGGGTGTCTGAAATCAAAAGGTGAACTCAAGAGTAACGGGAAAGGATAAAACAGGCCAAACCAATCTATCATGAATTGTCTTTTTGAATCGTCATGATAAAATCACCAGAATCAAAGGAATTTAAAAAATAAAAAAATCCACTATATTTGTAACTCATAAACTACATCTATCATAAATTTCTTACAAGCCATACCAACAAAATGCTCCGTGGTTCTTCAAACTCTCAATACAACTTTTTTAAAACCCTACAGTTCAAACACCAGAAGAGTTCACCTATCTTCAGATATGAAGCACAGTCCAGTCTCCTAAACCACATATATATCATAATAAATAAATATAAATAAAAATAAAAACAAATGATACAGTGTTTGGATCTTAAATTTATAGAGAGAAAAATGAAAACAACGGGAGAAGAAAAAAAAATTAGATCTTACGTAATTTATCTTTTCCCTCCACAAATCCAAGTTCCAAACACAGCTTAAGGCTTCCAACTGGAAGGAAGGAATCCAAATTCTATAGATTCTAGAATTCTACAAGTAATGTACACAAGTACAATGAAAACAAGCAACACAATTATGGGGCAGAGGTGAAGAATATGTATAATGAAAACCTCAAAAAACAAAAAAATGTAAAAGTAACAAAACCAGTTAGCAAACCAAAAAAAGGGGAAATATGCAAATCCATTAATATTATTTCACATGCTCCCAGCTCTGCCAGGAGTAGTTTTTGTCGGCTTAAATTTTGCAATGTCAACAAGGTCTCCAAACAGCTTATCCTCTGGCTTTGAGGGCTTTCCAGGCGGCACATAGGATGGAGTAGACTGCTGCTGGTAAGGATTCCTCAATGCACCATCATCCCTAACCGAGAGCCCATACATTCTCTGGTCGAGAAACTGCGCATTTTGTTGCTGACCGTAACCATATCCATATCCGGCCATTTGGTTGCTATACATCTGTTGAGGATTCATATAAGCCATCTGCCCAGACTGCATTTGCTGGGGATACATACCCATTTGCCCTCCCGGGATTTGCTGAGGATGAATCCCTGCCATCTGATTGCTCTGAATACCTTGATTATTGAATGATGAGAGATGACCAGCTGTCATTGGCTGAATATACATACCACCTGGTTGAGATCCTTGATGCATGCCACTTGGCATTGGCTGGGCATGTGTGACAGCCACCTGAGTAACCTGCTGCATTGGCTGAGGATATTGACTGACTTCTAGTTGGCTATTGTCTGCTGACTGAGCTTCCCAGGGTGGTGGTGGCAGCGAACTGTTGCTCTGAGCACCTAAGAAAATTGTGCGAGCTCAAGGTCAGTTTTAAATGCAAAATGATAAATATATAAATCCCTCCCTGTTCAAGACATATCAAAACCTGGATTATCTTTCTTTTAAAGAGTAAACCAATAATTAAATGTTTCATTCCTCACTCCCTCTCAAAGCTACCCCTAGAGCTTTGGCCCTGTAATTAGCTCATATATGTGGATGTGGTACTACATGTACTTAGAAATTAGACGGGCCAAGCCCAGACACCCTCGTGAGCAAAATCTGGAGCATCTAATAAATGGGTCATGAGGACTCCAAACTCAATCTCATTAAATTCACATCAAACCCAACCAAGCCATCTAGATTCTAGCCCATTTCTTTTGAAATTTTGAAAGAGACTTTAAATTTGTGAAACTAAATATTTATTGCAATATATCATATATTGGTGTAATAATTAATTATAACATTTTAAAATAATTCACAAAATTATTAATTAATGAAGGCTGTAGATGTTATGGACTTTTATAAAAGGCATTTGAAGAATAATATGCAGGGTTCAGCAAAACCTGAACTTTGCAGGAGGCTAATTATAAGCAGTAAGATGAATGACAAGGAAAAATAAATAAATAAAAGCTCGAAAGAGGCTAAGCTGAACCAATTTCATATTTTAAATGGGTCCAAAACGCTGACATTAGCCCTTAAAATTAGTAGGCATTGGGCGGGTTGGCATGTCAGCTGGAAAATTGCCACTCCTAACTAGTTGTCTATTGATTGGGCATACTGTGAGTGCAGAACTGGAACTGTAGGAGTGCAGAACTGGAACTGTAGAAGTGCACATATAGATATTTGAAATTTTTTTTTAAAAAAAAAAAATGCATATAGAGTGAACTAGAAACGCACCATAGACAGGAGAAGGTGGCTGCTGCTGGGGGGCTATCTGTCCATTCCAGGCAGGATTGGCACCTTGTGTGTATATTGGCTGCTCATATTGAGGTACCATCATGTTTGGGCCAATTCCATTTGAGTAAACTGAGGTCTGTGGAGGTTGAAAATTCTGCTGCTGCTGAAATTGTGGCGTTGAAGGTGGATATGCTTGTCCAACTGGATAAACAGGTTGATTATTGTTATTTTGAGAAGGAATTACAGCAATGCACGGAGATGTCTTCACAAGTAAAGAGACGTCGAATGCTGCAGTTTGACAATGAGATTTTGGGTTCCCCTCTTTGCAATGAGGAGCGTATTCACTGATGAAGGTGAGTTGAAGTCATCTCCACTCAAGAGGTCCATTTTAGGATTAACCTTTATTGGAGTTGTTGTAGGACCATTAGCAGCAGGAGCAGCAGGAACTAACAGCTGTATACCTGCACCAGCGCTGGAGGTGGATCTGTAGAAAAATCAAGGTATTTTTACTGCTTAGAATAATAACCAGCAACTGCATTAAAAAGATGTAAAATTCCATTAAAATTTTCATGTTAGGTTTGATGGTCAAGCCATATCAAAATTTGAACATCTCAAATGGTGAAGAGGAGGGGAATGGGGAAGGAAAAACACAAAAACAAATCAATGGTTCAAGAAGAAAAAATAAACTTTCAATATAATAGCATCCATCAAGACAGAAAGCCAAAATACTTGTTCTATAATGAGAATAAAACACTCTACTCTAGACATCCGCTGGATAAATCTTCCAAAGTTCAATGATTCAATCAAGCATTTAAAAGGTTTGTAAAATCTAATTTCACAAAATATATCCATTGCCTTATTGCTAAAGATAACATATCCCTAAAAACAGAGCAAAACATATCCACCATAAGTAATCAAACTGACTAAACAGAAATAAATCTCAATAAGATGTCAAAACATGTTTTCAAATAGAAGTTTTGGTCTCTACAAAGACCCGATCTAGATTGAATAGATGTTTTGAGATAATAAGTTTGTAAAAAAAAAAATCAGGTAATAACCAATGTGCCAGGGTGCTAGCCAGCATAAATACTACAAGGAAAACAATTCAAGTAAAGTTGATTACCCCCCATCAGACTGTTTTCTGTCTCCTGTATCGATTAGAGGAGCATCCACAACAACCAGTGCTCGAACAGTTTCAGGATTCTGTTTCTCTGTTTGAACAGTTGTTCCTGAAGAAATAGCTTCATGCTTGGCTAGGAGACGTTGCAAGTCATCATTCAATGCAAGCCCTTGACATAGCAGTGATTCATCTCTGCAAGAGTCAAAAGAAAATACACGGTGACAACTGTATTTAATGTAAAAGAAATGCAGAGTTAGCTCCCTATATAACTCTGTTCATTTGAAAAATCAGAAACAAATATACAAGAAAATGCACACGAGAGAGATGCTAAAACGGTTTCAAGCATAGTTGTCAAATCAAGATTCGAAATCGTGAATTGAAATGGCCTCATACCGAATCACGAATCGAATCGTGAATAGTAAAGATTTGGTCACTTTTTCTAAATTACTTAGAAAATATATGTACACCCTTTGATGTTAAATATATTTTATGAATATGAAATATTTAGACTTAAATAAATGAAAATATTGTTTGAATGAAGGTCATCATGATTTAATAGGTAAAAAGTTAACAAAGGTTCCTATGTAAGATTATCATCTTACATTTCCCTTTTTTTAGATATTTCTTATTAATCATTCTTAATAAAGATAGTAAGTAAAGACAAACTTTCAATTTCCAAAGTAACAATAATTTAACAACAATATTAATATTTAGACAATAAGCATACATATTTTTCCAAGTAACAATGACCAAATAATAAAATTATTTAGGATATTTTATTTTAAAGCCTAAAATATTTGAACAAGTATAACTGACCTCACTTATGTAATATTCAACTATATTTAATTTAATAAAATAGCAATAGATAATTCATGGTGTAAGCTACTTTAATCTTAAAGAATATATATTATGATTTTTTAAGGAAAAAAATAAGAAGGTTAAAAACATGTTGAGTTTGACTGAATCTGATTGGATCCTATTAAAAACTCCATCATCACTAAATAACAAATCATGAATACGTATTTGTTATTTTGGTACTAAACGCTATTAGAAATTGTATTACGTCATTTTTACTAAAAAGATGAGAAAAAAAAATAGTCAAAAATATGTCAGACACGATAATTTTAAGAATTGTATGAATCGTAAAAAGTGGATCGAATCGTGAATCATGTGATTCACTATAGATTCACTTCCAAAAGAGATTCACCCATAGATTCATATTGATTTTGTAAAAATTGTGAATCGAATAGCGAATCATCAATCAGAGAGATACAAGGAAACACATGTAAACTTGACAGTTAAAAGCAAGCAACTCTCTACCTGGGAAAGACTAGTATAGAATGTCTAACCAATCGGATTTATACCTTGTATTTATGTTTACACACCACGAACCCATTTGTTATGGAAGGGCAAGTGAAACTTTAACTTTGTTTTTTTTTTGAAAAGCCAAGAAACTTTAACTTTGTTATCGAAGTGCGAGTGAAGCTCCACCCATCAAACCTCCAACCTTGGTTAATTTTTTTGAAATTTAAGGTGAAATTTCAGGAAAATAACCAATAACTATAACTACAAGGGGAGTTACCCCAGGTTCAAAACAAAGTTGGAAATAAGGCTATCAACCTCTCGGGGGCTGTAAAGCAATCCTCCATCCTATACTCCCAATGATCTCCAACTCAAGCAGTTTTCTACATTCTAGCTGACTCCTCTTTTCCCAGGGTTTGAGTCCTTCAGTTTCAAGCAAAGAAGAGTGATACCAAAAATTGAAGCCAAATCACACCAACTAATTCCAAATGGCGTAGCAAGTTCAGCCATCTGAAATGACTTTACTGTGCCAAAATGAGGCATTAAAGGATTGTTTGAGGTGTTCTAAATAAATGCACTTTTTGACTTTTTGGACTAAAAAGTTGAGGAAAAAAAATGGTTGTTTGAAATAACTTTTTGACTTTTTACGAAAAAATGTGTATTAAAAAATTGTATAAATTAGTGTATAGGAGAAGCTTGGGCAGAATAAGCAGTACGGTGGGCTGAGTAGTGTATAGGAGAAACTCACCTCATTTCGGGCATTGAATTGAACGGTGTTGTTCGGCCAGTGAGGGCCCACCACGGGCCCCCGTTTTGCTAATCGGAACCGTTTAATGTGTAGAACTCGTTGAGTACTATATGCTTGCAAAAAATCACGGTAATCGGATATCGATAGTTATCTGATCGGATTAGTTTTTTGTCAACCATTAACTACAACACCATCCATTTTTTATACAAAACTGATTTGATCATGTAGTTAACAATATTCGATCAACGTGATTTTTTACAGACATATATTACTTGACGAGTTCTACACATTGAACGGTTCAGATTATCAAAACGGGACCCGTGATGGGCCCCCACGAGCTGAACAACACCGTCTTGTTTGCTTCTCCGCCTACTCCCCTTGCACAAACGGTGGGCAGCTAAAATACAACTCACGTGACATGTGAGTTGTACTTTTTTTTTGTAAAATTAATTTTTTTATTTTTTATTTTTTTGGTGAATAATGATACTTTTTTAACTTTTTTAGTAACTTTTTGATTTTTTGACTTTTTTAAAGTATGCCAAACCAGCCCTAAATAAGTGAAGGATTGCTCTGCGAGGTTGGTCTTGATATTACTGCATCTAAAACTTCTGGAAATTGAAAAGAAGTGCAACGATGGTCCAAACAGTTCAATGGGTCCAGTACAGATTTGACAGAAAATATAATGAAAACCAATGTTATGTAGAGTAGCAAACAAAAAAATATGTTTGCATTGCGAATATATCAACCAAAATGGAAACTTCTAGGTTTAAATAATTTTTCTTCCGAATCTCTTTTTGGGAAAACACATTTTACCCCTTTAGGGTCTGGGCCATTTGGCACTTTGCGCTTTCCCTCCCTACCATTATTAATTCTGTCTAGATTGATGGACACTGTGCCACAAGCGCCTATTTTGAGAGTTGGCATAAGAAAGTGTCAAATTACCATGCAAAAAGACAATTATGCCCTTGTCTTATCATCTTCCCTAATCAATCTGAAAACCCTAACCCTTGTCTTCATCTTCTTCCCCTCCCTGCACTGCCGCCACCCCTGCTCTCCTCCACGGCAACCCCCTTCCTCCTCCTCCCGTGACACTCCAACAATGCATCACCCAAGTAGGGATTCTACACATTCCTTCCAAGTATCCTTACATAATCTGCTATCAGGCTGCCTCCTCAACCGTAATCTCAAACAGATTCGAAAAATTCAATGCCAAGGGTCATCCCATACTGGCATTTAAACCCAAAATCTCAACCTCTACCGAGTCTCAAAATCCCAACCATTTCTGATGCTCTTCTAAAGCTCCATCTCATAGGAAATACAAACTTCATTCAATAGCTATTACACTTCCCACTCCTGCATTTCCTTTCCACCACTTCAAATATTATATATATATATATATATACACACGAAGTTAGAAAATTAATTTAATATGTGGGTTAAAACTAGTTTTAATTGGGTTAATATTTATTAAGTTGGAAATTGGATTAAAAAATTGAAGGAACTTGGGTTAGAATGTGGTTTAACAATGTCAATATGCGGTTAAGAAAGGTGAGAGGAATAAAGAAGGTAAAAGAAGAAGACATAGAGGGTATTAAGGTTATTTTATATCTGTCATTAACAGAATTAGCATTGCACTTTAGTGCCAAATCACACTAGGGTAAAATGGTTATTTTTTAATGTGGGGGTGAAGTGCTCCAGGGCCAAACCGATATAAACAAAAGGGGTTTAAGACCCAAAGGGAGTATTGCAGATAAAAAGACCCATCTTCTGGACAGGCCATATTGGATCTGAAAGGAGTATTGATAGCAATAGAGGCCAGGCCACCTTTACACTACTTCCTTGATTGGGTTAATTTATATTCTGGTAGTTCACAGATTTTACTTAATTCTGAAGCTGTTTTCCCCCAAAGGACACCTTACCCTACTTCAGCTTGTTGCTCCTCTATCACTATCAATAAAATTCGCCTTTTTATTTCACCATTAGAAGAAGATGAAAGAAAGAAAGGGATAAAAGGGGGAAAAAAGTCAGAATTCAACACGAAAAGGCGTCATACAAATCAGCATAAGTAAAGGGATAAGTGATTCAAGGCCTTACGAAGTCGAGTTAACAAGGTGTACCACTCTTTGCTTGTATGCGCGGCACTGTTCAACCAAGTCAACAATAACCTCCTCCCTAAGCCCCTGCAAAGTGGAAATATGATTAACCCAATGCAAAGATAAACTACTAAATTTGCCAAAAAGGAATAAACGGTGCAAGAAATATATGAATTTTTAAAACTTCCGACATATATGATTTTTAGTGGTCAATATCAATAAAAAAAGACTCGTTAAATAGAGCATTATTTTAGTCCTTGATCAAACCCAGGCTACAACAAGTCCAATGGTTCTAACATCCCACTATCAGTTCAGCATGTTGGATGTTTTACATTGTACTACTACTGCTATATCATTAATATAACTCACTACACCAAAGTATTATCTCAGAGTGAAAACAGATCTACTTCTCATTTACAACTTATAGAGTGTAAAATATACCTCTTTGTTCCCTGGATCTAATGCATTCAACATTTCTGCAAGGACGTCCATAATACCTCGTGCATTCTGAATTTCTGTCAAGCTAGCAAAGAAATATCGATTAAAACAATATTTAACTTGGAAGATGTAAAAGAGTTTTAATGGAACCAAGAGTTGCACATTTAGTTTATGCGGATCCAAATCCCCTTTCTTACAATCAATGAAGAAGAGAAATTAGTTTGTCAGGAAAAAAACATTTACAGCATAAAATAGGAACAACAAAGTGACTCAACACTACAGATTAGGGCTGCGAATGAACCGAGTTCATGGCAAGCTTGAGCTCAATCTGGCTATGGGCCTGTTCAAGTTCGTTTATCTATAAATAAACAGAGCATGTGCCTAGTTCAAGACTTGTTTGGTTTAACAGCCTGGCCAGGACTTTTGTGCTACCTTTATATAATAGAACATATTATATCTTACTCCGTAAAAAAATAAAGAAATCAGGTCAGACATTAAAGGATGATGCATACACCATCACTACACCACCTAATCACTCAATGCATATAAGCATAAAGTTCAAAAGGTACTATTTTCTGGTGTCTTCTTTAATCATATGTTCTATTATATAAAGCTAGCACAAAAGTTAAAGGATACACACCATCAATCACTACACCACCTGATCACTCAGCAAGCAAATAGGCATAAGTTCACAGGGTCTTCAGAAAATGTACATGAGGGGTTAGAATTGGTTTCACACTTTCAATTTGATCTCAGAAGTTGTATGACATCAATGTCACTGCTAAATTGGCTGTTAATTAAAATAAAATATAAAAAATTCTTTCAAACAGAAAAAAAGGACCTAATATATACCTCAATGTTGGAAACTCAGTGTCTGCAGAAGACTCAGCTGCTTCTTGCCCAAATTCTGGTGCCCGAATATTTTGTGGATATGATGTTAGAGGCTGTGTTTGCGGGGGTGTAAATACAGGGGCAGACCTTTCAGTTCTCTGGGGGAATACTGCCCCAATACGCTGAAATGAATAAAATATTTGCCTCAGAGAATTTAAAAAACAAAATATGATGGTTAAATAGCCCCTATTTATAAACAACAAAATGAAAAGTCACACCCAGCAAATAATACATAAATATATGGAAGTATGGAATTTCTTACTGAAATATATACTTCTCAATCTGAGAAATACTTTAAAAATACACGACTTACCAATAACTCCTGGTATGCGGCAAAGAATTGCGGATATCTTGCCCTTGGTCCCCCAAAAGCTTCTTGCCAAGTGTCAAGTAGAATCAATATCTTCTCTTTGACATGAATGTCAGGCTAAAAATATAAACAGAATAACAAATAAGGAATGTTCTTAAAACAAAAACTTTATTTCAAAAAATAACCATGCATATATAGAGGAGCAACCAATGGTAGAATTAAAATTCTAACCTTCTTCTTCACTATTTTCACCATATCATGAAGCACATCTTTCTCTGCAACATGCATATGGATAAGGTCCCCACAATTCTTTACAATCGTCTCCAATAGCTAGAATATGGTAAACAGACTAAGTGAGCCAATTGACAAATCTTCTGTGAGACAATGTTGTGAGAATGACAGGAGAATGTTGCAATTCATTCAATAAAACGGCTTTATCTCAAGTTTGCAAACAAGTTTCCAACAGATGACCAACTTATTTGTACAGAGTATCTCAATTACTGAAATTTTCAATCAACTGAAAAGAAAGAAAAAAAAAAAAAAAGGCTAGTGTTGGAAGTAAATCAGGATTTACAGCCCTCTTGGCAAGCCTTATTCAAAGCACATCTACAAGTCAAATATCATGTGATACACATTGAATCGTGATACAGTGCGAAGAGCCAATGCAACACAGCTAGATGAACAAGATGCTATCATCACAAGACATTTTCAACTTCGTAAAAGAAAGACTCCAAAGCCAGATAACAAAAGCTTTTGCACTTCAAACATTGGAAGTAAATCAGGATTTACAGCCCTCTTGGCAAGCCTCATTCAAAGCACATCTACAAGTCAAATATCATGTGATGCACATTGAATAGTGATACAGTGCGAAAAGCCAATGCAACACAGCTAGATAAACAAGATGCTATCACAAGACAGTTTTGACTTCGTAAAAGAAAGACCCCAAAGCCAGATAACAAAAGCTTAGTTCCTATTAATTATATTGGCCATGAAATAATGCTACCATCACCAGACAGTAATACCATTTGACCAAATCAATGGCAGAACTTTTCAACAACAAATTGTTAGCATGCGCAATACACAAACACCTAAAAGTAGGTGTAAAAGCTTTCTAGAGACAAAAGTAGAATTCAAAAGTAATTAAAATTTGACTGTTAAAAGAAACCTTTCAGAAATGTGCATAACACCACAAGAGGGAAAGCAGAGTGAAAAAAAGCCAATCTAAAAAAATATTTATATAAATGAAACGAAAACATAGTCAGATTGGAACTTACTGTCAGGGCAAGAAGTTGAACTTTTGGATTCTTGCTTCCAATGCGCTTTTTTATGCCTTTTACAACATCCTTTGATTGCCTAGTGAACCAGAACCAAAACCAAATTAATGATGACCACCACGTAAGAATCAACCCAAAAAAATCAGCTTTAATTATCAACACCACGAATGAAACTTCCCATACAAAAAAAATGTAGTAAGGAAGAGCAAGTAACAACGCTCCATATGCATAAAAGTGGAAGAAAGAAGTGTGCCCATTAAATAGGATGAAAGATGAAAAATTCCTCTCATATGTCTTAAATTTACAGTCATCACCAACACAATGATTTCAACCTAGTGCCTTGATTCAAGAATCAAAATTTTGTTTAGGTGTATTGTTTCACTCATGTGAAAAGGAAGTGTATTGGACATGCTTAAAAAATATAAGGGAAATGAAAAGAATTTGGAAACATAATAAAATGTATGGAAACAAAAACTAAAACCTACAAAAATGTTTATACATTCTCAATAACTTATATAATTGAACATGTCAAAATCTACACATCTCTTTACATAAAAGAGCACAAATAATATATCAAAATATATATATATATATATGGCCCCACACCTGGCAGGGACACCATGGACATATCATAGCTCTAATGTGTATCAGTGTAACTCAGCTGTGCAAGGCTGTTCAAACTGACACATCAAAATTTTGGGTAATGTTTGAGCTTGGCTAAATAATAACCAACATTGCGCGAGATTGGTTATAGCTTGGCTTAGCACAATGGGACAATAAGTTGGTATATTGGACTTGGTTTTTCAACCAAAGGTAAGGCTATAGATTTTGACATATCATGTCATGTTAATTTATCAAAAAACAAAATATCATGTCGCGTTAGATATTGGTTGCATTTTCAAGAATCAGAGACCTATGTTACATGGACTTTTCTATTTCCCCCACACTACCCGTGTCCACCGGTAATGACATGGGTAAAGGCGTGGGATATGTGTCTGACACTCGTATCCAATTTAGACACTCGGATCCTTTAATTTGTTATAATATATGAGAAGAAGAAACTCACATTTGCTAGTAAAGTAATATTTTTAGCCTCTCACATGAATAAAATATAGAGATTTTATATTTTTCCTGAATGTTATTCAATTTCAATCATATTTCTTTATAATTTACAATATTTCATCCAAGAATATTATTTAATATGCAATATATATGTGTATATGACGCTTCTTCGCACCCATATCCAATTTTAGATACATATTCCAAGATCTTAAGATTTAAATTTATAAAGGTTTGACACTTGGATACATACCCGCACCCAATACTCGGTACGAGTCCATGTAACATAGTCAAAGACATAGTTTCTACAATGACTCACTTGTGATATATTATACATACATAAATGTCATCATTCTTTCCATGGTTGGACTTATCTACTTATAGAACTAAAGGAAAGGCCCAAGCTAGCCTCATTTTATCCACTAAATGAGCCTGAATAGGCTGTAAATGAACAAAATAAATGGAAGGATTGGCAGCACAAGCCTCATTATCTAATTATGGAGGCTCTCTAGTATCTTTGAGCAATAGGTACGTAACCCATATCTACATATTTAAAGAATCATCACTGCAACTCACTACCCCCACCTCCACATAAACCCTAAGCCCCCACTCTCGATTCAAACTCTGTGTCTATACTATTGCTCAGCCCTTATAGACTCCTTTGTACAGTCTCCCATTGGTTCTATTGTATAACCTTTCCCAGCATCCTTCATGGCTGTTTAGTAGCTAGTAATAATCGAATCCCAGATTACTAGTGACATACACTTAAGTTGTGTTTGGTTAAGGAATTTGAAAAGGGATTTAAAAAGGGAAATAGAAAAAACAGGTGAAATGAGAATAAAATATGTCTATACTTCACCTAATTCCACATACTTTTTTCATTTTCATTTCCAAATTGCTCCCCAAATCCCTCAACCAAACGCAGCATTAACCACAATAAGAGACCAGTGAACTTAAGCATTCGATAACAGTAATATTCACCATTTCCTTTTCAATTCACCTATTGGCAATGGCATAGAACGATGAACGTTTACCCTAACCGCGCTAACAACAAGCGTTGACACACATGATTGATATTGCTCGGGCCACTATAAATTTATGAAGGAAAAAACAAAACTTTTGGATGGAGGAATGCAAAATAACCAACTTCAACACAAAGGATTCCACATAAATACCAAATTGACCTCCAAAATCGATGATTTAAACCCAAAATCCTACACTATTCAATGAAATTAACAAGAGCAATAAATCATTACAGACGAGCGAGAAAACGTACGAAGGATCGCGATTCAACATGTCGCAGATCTCGATGTTCATGGCCCAATCTGGACCGATGAGCATATCGCTGGTGGCTCGTTCGACCATAGAATTCACCATCTTTGCTTCGAATTTTCAAACCCCGCGAATGCCGGAGACGATCGGAATCTGAGAATCTGATCAACGGTGCACTTTTCCGGCGAGATCACAACGAATCCGGAGAGGCACCGATTCGATTCGAGTAGATCAAGCCCAAAATCCGAAATCAAACTAAAACAATATTGCTATACAAACTCAAGAAATCAAAATCAGATCGAAGAGTCCTCAAACCACATGACTCTCTCTCTCTCTCTCCTCTTTCTTTAATAATCTATATTCTCTCTCTCTCTCCCCTGTTCTCTCTCTCTCTCTCTCTCTGAAAGATTTCTTCTTCTCTCTGTTAAGAATGCCGATTTTTGTTTTTTTATTTGGAAAATTTTTTAAAATAAAGCAAATAAATAAATAAAAAAGAGGAAAATAAGATTGAAAAAAATAAATAAATAAATAAGAGGAAAATAAGATTGGAATGAAACTGGCCAATATATTCTGACACGTGTGGAGTTGATAGGGTCACGAGTGTTTTTTACTGAGGTGTACCTATCTGGATACCGTTGGTTTGGCCAACCATTTTGATCAACGGTTAGTACCGTTCTATCTTACGTGTAGTGCTCCATAATAAATAAATAAATAAAAATCTTCATTTTTTCTTTTTTTATAAAATAAAAATTAGCCAATGTGTTAGCTGGAAAATTAGTATTGGATTCTTTGACAAGTAAAAATTAGAACACACTAAAAATCAAATATTTTTTATTTCAAAAAGGTGAGTCATTACTTTTGTTGGAAATTGGGTGAGGTATTAAACCCTGATATGAGGGTTCATGTAACATGATCCGCGACACATTTAGATTATCCATATTAAATTTGAATTTAAATTTAATAGCTATTCTATGTGGATAGTCCACTATCAATATCCATATCAATCATATCTTATCAAGAGATATGAATAGATGGTTAGATAGTCAGCCTATATATCTGATACAGTATATGAGATGTGGGATGAATCCAATAACGAATTATTTTTCTCATACTCTCTCCCAGAATAACGGTCAAGCCTCCACACTATGACTAGTGTTGGTGATATTCCTACTATGGTATCACTCGTGGGTGAGTCGGATTCTATCACCTAAGTATGATTTGAATCTTGGTATGGTTTAAGTCTTTTTACTTATTGTATCTGTATCTAACAAGCTTTTAAACACTATTGTAGATTATGGCCTCTTTTGGATAACTCATTTTAAGTTATGTTATCTTTCATATTTTTTATATATTTTTTTTTAAAATTAAAAAAATTAATTTTTAATTATCTTTCTAAAAAAACCCTATATCACATAATATTTTGAGGTTGCATAAATTATCAATGCTAGCTAGACATATTGTTTAGAATTGTAATTGAGATAAAACGGACATAGTAAAAATATATAAAGAAATATTAAAAATATTTTTAAAACTCTAATTTTTTTAAAAAAAATACTATTAGTTAAAAAAAAATTATGATTCTTTTCTTACCTCGAGAGTCCTTGTTAATAAAACCTTTTGTGAAACAAATAAATAAATGACTTTTTAATTGATTTGGGATGAGATTTTTACCAAACTATGCCAAGTGATTCGATATTTGATTTTTTACTTTAAACTAAAAAAAAATTAAGTTATTAGTTTGAACTTGAAGTCACGTTTTGAAAATATTTAAATTTTTAAATTTTTTGAAAAGTTTATTTGAAATAATGTTTTTAAAACATGATTTGAAGACATTACTTGAGTTTTAAGAATAATAAATCAACTTGCTTGTTTTTATTTTTCAAAAAACACTTTTCAGAAAATTCTACTTTCTTATTTTTCGTATTTTTTTGTTTTTACGGATTTTTTTTAATATTTTAAGTAATTTTTTTACTTTTTAGACACACCTAACATAAATATACCTAAAAAGTAAAAAAAATTGTAAAACAAATCTTTTAAAAATTCACTTAATACTAAAAATATAAAAAAAAATACAAGAATTCAGTACATTTTTTATATTTTTATGTATTTATTAATTTTTTAAAATATTTTTTCACAATTTTTTTACTTTTTAGATACATCTAAGTAAGGTGCATCTAAAAAAGTAAAAAAAATGTTTAAAATTTAAAAAATATTCACTAAAAACAAAAAAAACATGAAAACCAAATAAAAAATTTAATCAAAAAAACTCAAACCAAACACACTGAATTGTTTTGGATATGACTTATAAGTTAATTTTTTTACCATTATGAAAAGACATAAAAAAGTAGAGAAATAATCAGTGTGTTTAGTTTGAGTTTTCTGGATTAAGTTTTTTGAAAATTGAGTTTTTTAGTTTTCGTATTCTTTTGTTTTTAGTGAATATTTTTTAAATTTTAAACATTTTTTTACTTTTTTAGATGCACCTTAGTTAGATGTATCTAAAAAGTAAAAAAAATTTGAAAAAATATTTTAAAAAATTAATAAATACATAAAAATATAAAAAAATGAACTGAATTCTTATATTTTTTTTGTATTTTTGGTATTTAGTGAATTTTTAAAAGATATTTTTTACAATTTTTTTACTTTTTAAGTGTATTTATGTTAGGTTTGTCTAAAAAGTAAAAAAATTGCTTAAAATATTTAAAAAATTCAGTAAAAACAAAAAAAAAACACACCGGGTAATGAAGCATATGCACCAAAAGTAACAAAGCCCCCAAAGCCACACATGCCCACCTGCTCACGGTTGGTGTCTTAAAACACACCTACTCACACCCAACAAGCCCCGAAGCCACGCCTGGTGTGTACTGAATTCTCATATTTTTTTTTGTATTTTTGGTATTTAGTGAATTTTTAAAGATATTTTTTACAATTTTTTTACTTTTTAGGTGTATTTATGTTAGGTTTGTCTAAAAAGTAAAAAACTTGCTTCAAATATTTAAAAAATTCAGTAAAAACAAAAAAATACGGAAAATAAAAAAGTAGAATTTTTTAAAAAGTGTTTTCTGAAAAATGAAAACAAGCAAGCTGAATATAATTCAAACAAATCAATAAACCAATAAATTGTGCATCTCAAAAGGGACCTAAGTTAAAACACAAATAATTTTTAGGACAAATTACAAACACCCCCCTCGAGGTTTGGTAAAAATACATATTCTTTCTGAGGTTTGAGAAATTACAAATTGTCCCCTGAGGGTCAAATTTTCATAACAAATTAGAGAAAATTAGTAGGGAATCTGTATGAAAATAAAAACCTCGTGAGACAATTTATTATGAAAATATAAACCTCAAGGGGCGGGATGTAATTTCTCAAACCTCAAAGGAGAATCTGTATTTTTACCAAACCTCGAGGGGTGTACGTAATTTGCCCTAATTTTTAAGAATAAAAATAGGCCAAAACAATTTTGGTAAAGACACTCGATTTTGAATTCAACTCAGCATTGTTTTGAAAAGTAAGTTAAAAATTATTTTTAAAAAAATATATATATATATAATAAAAAAATTATGTGATTCAAAAAAAAATAAAAACTAAAAAATTACTTTTAAAGTCTTTGCTAAAAGAGGCCATACACGTTTGGTCCCAACTTCCCTCATATCCCCTATATTGATTGCCTTCTTTTTGCTTTTAAGTTGTACCTATATTTGTTAGGCTCACTACCCACGTGTTAGTTTTTTTTTTTTTTTTTTAAATCATATTAATTCTATAAAATTTGTTAAATTTATTTAGCCTCCTTTTGAGAAGTGGGTTAGTTTTTTAACTTTTTAACTTTTTGGCTATTTTAGCCTGAGGCTAAAAAGCCAGGTTTGGGAAGAGCTTTTTGACTTTTTGACTTTTTTAATTTTTTTGGTGAGAGAGGAATGTAATGATTATGGGTTGGATTTGATGCTTTGTTTTTTGTAAGTAAAATAGCCTATTTTATTTTTTGTGGCTATTTTAGCCCCTAACTCACCAAAACCAACTTCTCAAACTATGCGAGTCTAATTTTAGGTTTTTGATATTAGAATTTTATAAAATAAACGACATGCAGTATTTTATAATAGTTGAGATCTCTCAATATTTTTATAAATAAATTTTTAGTTCTTCACAAAAAAAATTATTTTTCACAATAGAAAATTTTCAGCTTCACATAAAAAACCGATCTGAAATTTATATAATAATGTTATTGAGAGACCTTAAATTAATAAGAAAAAAAATATATTGGACTTCTCTTACTACCCAATTTTTTCATTTATTCAGAAATAAAATATTTTTTAAGATTTAGTAAGATAAGAAAACTTTTTATTTCTATTTTTCATAAGATATAAACAACTTTTTTTTGTGGTCAAAACAAAATAATTTTTTTAAGGCAAAAAATATTTTTAATAAAGTGTTTTCCATTTAAATTTTGATCAATATGACCGCAATATAACCACTCCCACCACCACCATTATCTCAACCATCCTACAACTACCAAACAATCCGCCATTACAATTACATGTAAATTAATGAATTCTGAGCTTCTTTATAATAATCTTTATAAAAAAAAATAATATTAGGAAGAAGTTGGTTGGGCTTTTTTGGCTATTTTAGCCACAAAAAACAAAATAGGCTATTTTAGCCATAACAAACAAAACATCACATCCAACCCATAATCATTACACTCTTCTCTCACAAAAAAAGTCAAAAAAGCCAAAAAGTCAAAAAGCCCTTCCCAAACCAAGCTTTTTAGCCCAGGCTAAAATAGCCAAAAAAGCCAAAAAGCCAAAAGGCCAACCCACTTCCCAAACGGAGGCTAAATGGACTAAGAATTGATTTTTTGATAGATGAGGCGCTCATTTATTAGGAATAAAATCTCTCTCAAATTTAATTGTTGAAAAAATAGTAAGACATGATGCTCAGCTGCCTCTTTAACCATAAGAAAGTAATATATTACTATACTGTTTGATGATACAGTAATGATGGTAAGATGGGTTGGACTGATCCACACTCTTCAAGCCTAATATCCAAGTGACCAAACCCACCAGAGAACCTGCACAAGAGTTCAACGGGGAACAGGAGTCCCCCAGTGAACCCTCCGACGGACAAGTTAGAGAGAGAGAGTGGAGTATGTTGATAGATTAGAGATAGAAAGCTTAACCTTCTTCTTGTCTTCAACGTCTGCTTATATCCTTTGGTAATCATTTCGTTGTCCCTTCCGACCTGTCACCTTGGCCAAAAGTCTATGCTATAGCTTACCTTGTTCAGGGTGAGGGTGTGCTGTCCCGACGGAGAGGTGTTGTCGTAATAAATGTTGTGAGGGGTTGCATTAATTGCGATGTGCAGTGGCAATAACTTTGCAGATCTTTGTCTACTGATGTGGCTTGCCCTTTACCTGCCACGTATCTGAA